ATTGAATATTGAACACTACTTATTTAGGCTTTTAATTAAGAGCTATTAAGCTTTTAATCAAGAAAATTTTAATTTTTGCACACAGCTTGGAACGAGCTGTGTGTGTCTAATTCCAAGCTGTGTCAGAAATAGTTTTTATGTGTCTAAAACCGTCTCTTAACTTAATCATCTATTAATTTTTTACCACTTGAAATCAGCAAATACAAGTATACTTAAAGGATTCCTAATATATTAAAAGACTTAGGGTAAACGCGGTATATTCCGACATCGCGGGTAATTCTGACATATCTCTAGTTTTTCCTTTATATCAAGCTTTGTCTTAGTTCCACACATTCGTTGATGGCTGAAATAGTGACGTCATACCTTTGTGTGCCAAACTATTGCCAAAACACTAGGTTTGGGCTGTCTGGCAGGAAAATGTTGAGATCCAAAGAGAGACAGTGCATGCCACCCAGTGAGATCATCGAAAAATGTGTCAAAGTTGATAGTTGACCTTGCTCTACCAAATAGTGATAAACTGTTTGTGTAGAAAGAATATTATGGTTTGAGACTTTTAAATACATCTGTGAATATATTAGGAATCCTTTAAGTATACTTGTATTTGCTGATTTCAAGTGATAAATAAATTAATAGATGATTAAGTTAAGAAACGGATTTAGACACAAAAACTAATTCCGACACAACTTGGATTGGACACACACAGCTCGTTCCAAGCTGTGTGCAAAAATTAAAATTTTCTTAATTAAAAGCTTAATATCTGTTAATTAAAAGCCTAATTAAGTAGTGTTCAATATTCAATACCTAGGAGTTCTAATTCAAAGCCGTGTTGTATTTCAATACAGCTCACACAGCGATCTGAATTTGAACACAAGGATGTCGGAATTATGTATTAGTAGAGTTTGAAGTGCGACTAGAATTCTTCTCACAACGTGCCAAATTTAGTCACACACAGCGTCGGAATATAGGGATTTGATAGGTTTGCTTTCTAAAGGCTTTTAAATAAATATGGCAACACTTTGTGACGTTTCATCGTTGCTGGCGCGTATTGCAGTGTTTTGAGTCACGTAAAGCAAACAGAACTCGAGTAACGCATACAGTTATTTTTTTATAGTTTTTCATTTCTTGATGCGTCCTTAATGTGTCAGAATATATTGCGTTTACCTTATTTAAAAGTCTCTAACCATAATATTCTTTCTACACAAACAGTTTATCCCTATTTGGAATTGGTAGAGCAAGGTCAACCATACTGGCAAACCAGTAATTTTTTAGAATCAGTTCATTTTTAATTTTTTCTTTTACCCAAGATTTAAGCCAATAGTATCTTATGTATGATGATGCTGGTATCCATTATACTTTTCTGGTCTACTTTTAGGCATAGTGGCTTTGGCAAAGCAGAGAATTTTTTAGACTCTTCCTCAAGTTCATTTTTGAGTCCTAAATGTAGACCAGTTAAGTATCCTGGATACCTGCATTATTATACATAAGAAATTGGTTTAAATTGTGAGTAAATGAGGAAATAAAAAATGAACTGATTCTAAAAAATCTGTGGTTTGTCACTGTGCTTTTAGGACTTGAAATTGAACTTGAAGGAGAATCTAAAAAACTCTCTGCTTTGCCACTATGACAGATGACCAGGCTGGAATTCTAAGAATGGAAGTTCACTTATAAAAAAGCTTTCCACCCAAGGTGAAAAGCTTTCCTTGGATACAGTGCTCTGCCAGCCTGCCAGGAGACTGACTATAAATGAAAAGGAGGATCAAAAGTGGACAAAATGTTTCAATTGTATAGTACATTAGGTTTGAAATAGAATTATTTGGATATCTCGTGTTTGATATTTTTTATTTGTCTTACATTTATTGGGTTTTTTAAAAAATTTCCAGGCCTTTTGTTTGTAATGATCAAGTTTCAGTTAAGTATTTAGTTAACCAGTACTGTATTACATATACCATACTTGGGGGCGGGGTTCATGGGCACAACCAATCACAGCTTGAAAGCATCCCCATCAGCCAATCACAGCTTGAAAGCAGATAATATTACAATTCCATTATCCAATCAAAGCTGGAAAGCTGAAAGTGGCTAAAATAACAAACCAATCACAAATGGAATTCTGGAAAGGGATAGGATATGTAAATAATAGACAAAGTGTAAAGTTCCTGGCCTTTCCAAGCTTTCAGGTCCTGCTTTCCAATATGCTATGTGTACTGGTTAATTTATTATCCCTCTACCATGGTCAGGAAGATGTGCCAGGTGCGCGGGAATTTATATTGTCATTTTAACGACCTGCGCCGTGCGCCATACTTTAGAATGCTAAAATAGTTTAAATATGGACGCGCGGCAACGCGAATTACGTAATCACACTGACCATACACACAAACCGTCAAACATGTATCCGCATTGTGTTGTGAGTTGTGGTTGGATATGAGTTAACTAGATTGCTAACGTGTCAACTCAGGACTCAGGTTCTAAGAGTCAGCACAGTAATGAATATTCATTCATTGATCACAATTCAATTGGACATGAATTACAGAACTAAAGAAGGCAACATGGCTTTAGATGTGCCATCGGTGCCTTCTAATGAATGACTGGACTGGTTGCGGCAAGTAGGGTATGAACCTGTACGTCAACAGTGCGATCCTGCATGCCAATGTTAGGACTATATCCCCAACATCCTCCCGGCTGGGAAAATTGACACAATCAATACCTATTAACAATGCTGCTAAATGGACTATACAAATTAGGTCAGATGGCATAATTACAGAGTGTATTTATACTATGTGATACAAAATATGAATATATATATATACATTTGCAAGATAAGTCAATGGTCTGTTGTTTATTTTTGCTTTATTTGAGCAATTATGGTTTCTAAATCTGGGTGCATTATGTTAGGTCATGTGTACTTTGAATGTGCAAAAATTATAACTATAATATGAAAATTGTTACGTAGGTTATCATAGCACGAATCGCAATAGAGTATCAAGATTGCAGTTCTGCCACCACCCTTCATTGAATTATCCGCCTTTTTTCTAAAATTCAATAATCTCTTCCAGCAAAGTTTGCGAAATTGACATGAAAACTTTCGGTAAACTTGCGGTTCCAAAAATGGCGGGAAAGCTCTAATCGCGCCGCTCTAAAGGCAATCTATATAAATAATAATATAATTCACGCCTACGCTGGAGGAAATTCAAACTTCAGAGGTGGAACTTAATGCGGTAAATTTTCAGTAAGTCAGAAAATACCAGATTTAGGCATATATACCAGATCTAAAATATTTGTACCAGACACCTTCTGAAAATAACCAGATTTGTGAAATCTGGTATAGAAATATACCATCTAGCAACACTGGTTCAGCGTTACTTGAAATCTACAGATAATGTTGCCATTCCATTCAGATGAAAACTGTGTCTAAACCAGAACTGTGTTGGAGGGCTCCACGGACCGTGCCGAGTGCTGGGCGGCGTGCAATCGATGACTGTGATTTGTGCGAACGCCTGTGCAAAGAAAATATAATTAGATTGCTTTGCGCGAACTGCGCTGACCTAGGGCTTCAAAAAACTTTTTATGCGCGGGAAATTTCCCTGTTTATATACATCTTCCTGAGTGTGGTCCCTCTAGAATTCCACACCGCAGATCAGGCATGGAATATACCGTAAAATGGGGTAACTTAGACCGGCGGGGTAACTTAGACCACTTTTCGTTTTTTTAACAAAAACCCCCACAACTCAAAAACTATTTGACATAGAAAAATTTTGTCAATGGGCATTAAAGGCCTAATCCTGAGGCTACATAACACAATAGAAAAATTTGAAAAGTTTGCATATCTAATAGGTTGAAAAATTAAAAATGTGACCCACGAAAAAAAGCTATTATTTAAAGCCTGTCAGAGTACCCCCTCCAATTTTTGTATTTTTTGGTTAAATAACTCCAGGTTTTGATGCATTGTAGTAGAACTCTTCTAGTTACATATATGACGCGCATTCTTTCGAATGGAATGTCCCTCGCAACGCTGAGCGTCAACGTTTCAATGTAAACAACCTTTCCCACGGTCTCGCAATAACGGCCCGCATTCCTAGCATTCTTAACATCTACGCATAATACATGTTCAATATTACCTATGTTCAATATTACCTACTTTATTCAAACTATGCGCGATCTTCAACAAAACGTTCAGTTGATTTGTTTATATAACGATGTTTATGTTTTTCTGCAGGATGTTTTGGTGGGAATGGTAAAGCAATGCGGATTGTGCAAGTTGAAAATTTTATGAAATGACATGTTTGCGAAGTGCAAACAAACCGCGATTTTTCAATCAAACAAAAATTTATGACATTTGAGCCACAAGATTTCCTACCTACTGAAATTATATGATATTAGAGCCGCGATATTTCAGACAAAAATAGGACTTTTCCAGCCCCGCCGCAGATGACTGGTCAACTATCAACTTTGACAAATTTTTTGATGTTCACACTGGGTGACGTGCACTGTCTCTCTTTGGATCTCAACATTTTCCTGCCAGACAGCCCAGACCTAGTGTTTTGGCAATAGTATGGCGTGCCATAGTATGACATCACTATTTTAACCATCAACAAATGCGTGGAACTAAGAAAAAGCTTAATATAAAGGAAAAAAGTCAAGAAGTGCCGGAATTACCAACGATGTCGGAATATACCGTGTTTACCCTAGTTGAGTCCAATAATAAAATGGCTAATAAATATAATAGATACCAGCAATCACTGCACAATCTGCAATCAACATGTGCAATGCATTGCTGCAATTCTGGTAGGCCTATCTAATAATATCTATTATTATTATCCAGCACTAACATACATAAGATACCATATTAGATATGGGAAATTGAATTAGATCAAAATATTATATATTAATTGGTATCTAAAAAAATCAGTTTACCACTATTCTAGCTACCTTAGCTTAGACACTTTGTAATTGGACATTACAACGTGACCTTGGTAACACAGTAACAAAATTTAGTGTCTAGGTACCTGGTTTCAAGTTCAACATTTCAATGTTTATATCTGACAGAAAATCTGTGAATGTTTTTCACAGACAGATTGTGAGTAGTCTACAGACTAAACAGTAAACACATTCCCAAATAGCGATTCTCTTTACCTGTTACATCGACGGCATGCAATTTATTTATAAAATGAACACAAAGCTGGCGTATTTGAAAGCAATGCGTGTCGATTTACCCAACGGAGGATTCATAACATATGTTATGTATTCAAAAGGCTTGGCGGGAAAACTAGCATAAAAGGCTCTTGTGTCTTGTAACATAGGCAAATGAAAACCGGATAGGAAAGTCACAGCGTGTAACAACTGACATTGAGTAATCAGTATATTCACACAACTCTAATCATCAATAAGTAATCTACTTGAATTTAATTGAAAAAACTTCCAGTCAAAATTACAATGAAAATTTTTGATTATTGTTGTTGTCGCTGGCTTGATTTTGATTATTGACAAAATTATTAGGATTTAGAACCCATTTTGGCATTGAAACTGCGGATCAACGACTTAATCAATCAAAGATAGAGTCAGCTGTGTTCATAGGTAAACATCTAGTAGTGTGTTGCGTCAAGTGTTGCAAAAATCATTTGTAAATCTCCTAATCCTATAACTTGGACTCTACTATTACGGAGCCTTGATGGAACGTCTCAGACAACTTTACGGCCGGTGTCCAAATTCAGTGAGCATGGAATTATTCATGATGGAATTGACAGACCAGGAATTCTCACAAAGTAATGATTCTAATGAACGTAGGCTAGCTAGCTCGATAAAACTTGGTAGCTAGTAGCTACACGTATTCATTTGGGCTTAATGGCTAACGGTGATGTTTAGCTCGTGAACATGTTCGGAATCACAAATAATTCCAACTCATGAATTTTGTGAGTTATATGACTGTGACAATATGTGCCATAATTTGCAGTGAGCATGACATTTCTTCTAAACTACTGTACAGATTTGGGTAAACGCACCATATTCCGACATTGTGGGTAATTCACCCACTTCTCAACTTTTTCCTTTATATTAAGCTTTGTCTTAGTTCCACGTAACGGTTGAAATAGTGAGGTGACTGAGGTCATACTATTGCGTGCCAGATTCCCGCACAACACTAGGTCTGGGGAGAAAAGGTTGTGATCCTCAGAGTGAAAGTCCAAGTCAAGTCCGTAGTGGCAAACCAGAGATTTTTTAGAATCAGTTCTTTTTTAATTTCCTCATTTACTCAATATTTAAACCATTTTCTTATGTGTGAATTGTGATCATGCTGGTATCCCCACACTCAGGATGATGTATGTTTTCGGTGAATTTTCCCATGCATTTTCACTTTTTTTAAGCTATTGCTGTGCACAGTTGGCGCAATGTAATGAAAATTGATTATCTTCGTGCACGTGTTCGGTGTTCGCGCAATCCCGGCCATCTTTATTTTAGAAGAAATTTTCTCCAAAGTCATATGGCAACACTGAACACCGTCTGTTTACATTTCGTATGTATAACAGCCGCAGTTTATGATTACCGTACGTTCCGTATCCGACAGGGCAGACAATCGGAAGACGCCGGGAAGAGTCAGAAGTAACCCGGACATGTCTTACATTTTATGTTCGACTCGCGTAGTCAATATACTCGCGTATATTGTCGACTAAATTAGTAGAACTATTTTAGCTTTCTAAATTACGGCGCACGGCGCATTTTTTTACCAACGTAGTACGGCGCACCGCACAGGTCGTTGAAATGACAAAATAAATTCCCGCACACCTGCACATCTTCCTGACCATGGTGGTATCCATGATATGATGATACTTTACTGCTCTACTAATCATAGTGGCAAAGCAGAGAGTTTTTTAGACTCTACCTCAAGTTCATTTTTGAGTCCTATAAGTAGACCAGTAAAGTATCCTGGATACCAGCATTATTATACTTAAGAAATTGGTTTAAATCTTGAGTAAACAAGGAAATAAAAAATGAACTGATTCTAAACAAGCTCTGGTTTGGCAAACCAGAGCTTTTTCGAATCAGTTCATTTTTTATTTCCTCATTTACTCAAGATTTAAACAAATTTCTTTAGTATAATAATGCTGGTATCCAGGATACTTTACTGGTCTACTTATAGGACTCAAAAATGAACTTGAGGGAGAGTCTAAAAAAATTCTCTGCTCTGCCACTATGAATTTTTAGTGAACTAGTGTCTAGTGAGAACATTGAAACACGTGTCAAAGACTCAAAGTTGATAGTTGACCTTGCTCTACCAAATAGTGATAAACTGTTTGTGTAGAAAGAATATTATGGTTTGAGACTTTTAAATAAGTCTGTGAATATATTAGGAATCTTTTAAGTATATTTGTATACCATTACCAGACTGGAATATTGGGCAGATTTTTCAGAATACCATGGGTAAAAAGAGGCTGTTCAAGGGTGAAGTTGGAAAATCGCGGGTGAAATTTTGGTATTACTTTAGATTAAGTGCATCCAAAAAAAGTTTTTTTTTTGTTCCATTATATGTTTTTTGGGATGTAGATAAAGAATCTGAAATCCGTTTTTGGCGGTCGGCATCAGAAAACCAATTTTTATATATGCCGATTTTTATATAATTCCTAAGATAGAATGCAAGTTGAATCCCACTGTGCAGAGAGTGGATGAATATTGCAAGATCTTTGGCGACGCTTCAGTAGCAAAATTCATGCCTTCAGAAGATCTTGCCGACACATTTAGATTGAAATTCTTTCATTTAATACGGTATATTTGTAAGTCTTTGGCCAACTATTTAAAAAAAGTAAGGTTTCCACTTTCCGGTATGTTGGATTGATCAGTATGCAGTGAAGCTTGTCCAGAAATCAGTTGCAATGAGTTCCCACCAAAAAAATGTAAACATCAAGTTTACGATTACATAGTTGCGGTCACATTAGAGTGGTCAGACTGCATTATCACATGTTCAGTTGACACTTGCTGTACAATCGGACTGTTTTTAGGGTAAAATTAATTATTTGGGGTAACACGTGCATGCAACCTTGTAAATAAGTTTGTGGCTTGTAAATAGTCTTTCATTACTCAGCGTAAATGGCTTTTCATTAAAAATTACCTGGCAACGCATCTTAAAATTACCCGGCGATGCTTAGGGCTTAAAAACCCATATATTGGCGACGCTGCATCCACCCTCTGCACCATGGGTTAAATCTTGGCCCCAATATCCGTGGATTTATAGTGTTTCTAACTTAGCCTCGGTGACCCGTATACTCTTGCAACCATGACATTGCAACCACGGTTAGGTTAGGTTTATTTGCCAATTTTGCTGATTTATGCCGAATTTTTTTATTTTTATTCAGAGCTTCGGAGGGGGGGGAGGAAATTGGTTTTCCAATGCCGACCGCCAAAAACTGATTTCAGATTCTTAATCTACATCCCAAAAAAACATATAATTAAAAAAAAACACCCTTTTTTTGGATGCACTTAATCTAAAGTTTTACTGAAATTTTCATCCTCTCAGGTGCTTCTCGAAAATCGCGGGTGAGAATGAGTAATGGGTAGGTACACTTTACATAAACATAACATAACATAGTGATGTCGGCTCTGAAGTGTAGGCCTGATGTGGCCTGTCGCCGATTCTTTTCCATTTCGTGCCTTGTTCATAGATCTAAACTCGTGTCATTTGACCGGATCTTTTCATGACTGGCGATAGTTTGAAGAAGCTACTAGACTTCCACCGGGTTCGATAAGGAGCTAGGCATTTCAAATCTGAACATATATTTTTCCATAGCTTTATCTAGTCTGTTCTTGAACGCGTTCGTACTTGGAGCGCCAACGATGTCATCGGGAAGGCTGTTCCACATGTCGGTGATTCGAAGCGAGAAGAAATTTTGTCGCGTGGAGAAGTTGCAGCGCAATTTTTTTAGCTTATAGCCGTGGCCCCTGGTGTTGGTTCTTGTTACATGCTTCAAACATTTTAAAATTGATTTTTATTTCAAGTGTCCCAGGTTCCCAATTTTCAGGGGTAACTCAAGACGCTTTTATTTTGTGTCTGGCACCTTGAGAATAGCAAATGGAATTTTGCATAGATGCCATAAGATAGACCTTGCAAAGAGCTTTAAAATGAGCCCAAACTTGCTTATGAAATGTTTTATGGTAAGAAGTTATTAATGAAACACTCAAAACTGTCCCTTATTACCCCGTTTGATGGTACCGTCAACCGGGGCTACTCGGGACGGGCGGGGTAACTCGGGACAGTCCTTCAACACGGCGTAGAACTGTTTTTGTAGCAAAACTAATTGGAATACTGCAAAACAAAATATAGTGGCATAAATGTCAACATTTTTCCTATCCATTCTTTGTAGTACTGGTATAAAGGAAGTTCAAAAATACCACATTTACTAGCTTTGAAAAATTCCTGAAAAAATGGTAAAAAACAATATTTTGAAAAGTTACCGTACTTCTGCTAAGGTCTGTAGTAAAAAAATACCATATTTGCCATATTAAAGAATTTTGCTTAGAAAAAAGTGGCGGTCAAGTGTCAGCATGAAAACTTTATTGCGGAATTTACAGCAATCCCTTGATTAACGCGGTTAATAAATCCCCGAGTTTTACCGTGTTAAGCAAAACCACGCTAATCAAACTTAAGAATATATGGGAATAATTATAATGAATCCTCAAAAATAGCAAAGTTACATAATAATTTTTTTTTCCACTAAAATTCATCATATTTTTTTCTAAATAATAGGGGAAATAAATAAAAGAAATGCGAATGAATTAACATTTATTTTTACTGAAAAACGAATCCAATTTCAATTGCACAGTAGATTTCTTTCTCTCCTGCATAATTGTGCAATAGCAATTCACATGCCTATTCAGGCCAAGGAAAATTTGAGTTTGATAAAAGTGAGCAGTAGATATGGCAGCGATCTTGACCAGTTGAAGGCTAACGAGTAACTAGAGCACCGGCATGGCGCACTTACCGGCGAACGTTGCCGAACTCGACCATTCGAGGTATGAACGAGACAAGGCGCGGTTAAACCGACTCTGTAGTCAGCACAAGTGCCTACGGAACGGGACCTTATTTAAAGAATTATTGGCTGAAATTCATAAAGAGTGCACCAGGCATCATAGAATGAAAAGTAATTGACCTAAACTATGATTTATTTCTCCAAAACATATGATGGTTGTCACTGAAACATTCCTTTCTGCTTCAGGTATGTTTTTCACGATCTTTTTTATAGTAAATTCACTTAACCCAATTAAAATGGTGTGAAACTACAAGCCATCCTGTAAGCTTACAGATACAGAAAAAATGCTATAAGGCTGCTGATATGCCATGGACAAGGTTGTTGTAAATGCTCAATGGCATGTTCATGGATACGGTAATATTGCATCAATAGTACGGTTATTAATGTATATGGTAATATCATATCAATAAAGGAAAAACCAGTAAAAATCATAGAAAATGTCATTTATTCTACCTCTACATCATCTACAATGAAAGAGGAGGACTTCAGAGTACTGTTAGTAATGGATGAGTACACTCTGCATGCTTCAAATGTTTTAAAATGAAGTTTTATTCCAAGTGTCCCGAGTAGCCCCGTAGAATGGGGCTCCTTGGGACACTATTTTTTTGCTTCTGGCACCTTACAAGTAGCATATGGAATTTTTTTGGAGAAGCCATGTGATAGCCCTTGCAAAGAGCTTTGAAATGAGCCTAAACTTGTTTATGAAATGTTTCATGGTAAGAAATTATGAATGAAAAACTTTCAAAATCGTCCCGAGTAGCCCCGGTTGACGGTACTTGCTGCATTGTCAGCGTCATGTGCTCCCAGACTTGAGCTAAAAATCAATTTAAGATGTATAAATAAATTCTGTGAATGAACTTCTGGGGGGAGTAAATAAGAATGGTCATGTGCAAAGGAAAATCTGTAAATTTTTAGTATACTTTGAAATTAGGTAGGCTTAGTGAACTTGACATAGGTATGTTGAATTAGAAATTCAGCTTATATGTATGTATGTACATGTGTGTTTCATTGAAGACAAGAATATGTTTATTGACAATTTTCTTATTGGTTTTTTCAATATATCAAACAATATTTTTTGTTTTTACTGGAAAATAAAAAATCAGGATGCCGATGGAGATTTTTATTTCAGTTGACTGTCAGTTGACTCAGTTTACCAAGTTAGGTGTTCTGTATTTTCTAGTAAAAATTAAAAAATATTTCAAGAAAATTCTTTCATTCATGAAATTTATATGCCACATCAAATAGAATCCTAGAATAATTTTAACTGTATCTCCTGTCTTTGTGATCTAGACTAATGATATAGTGAGGGCTCATCATTTAAAGTTGCACCTTTAGCATAAACATTGGCTCTGAAATTCATTTTGCAACATCCCTATCTTATCATAAGACTTGCATTAAATGCTGTCACTGGCATGTGAGTTGCCCCCAGCAGATAGGTACTACTGCTGAGAGCTCTGCTCTAAACTCAGCACTTGCAGTGGTCAATAAAAGTTATATAAACCATAATAAATCCGTTCAAAACAACAGCTTCTAGGGTTTGCTCACTAATACGTATTAAATACACAGATGTTTCAATCTCACTAAAATGTTGTTGTTCATTTCTGATCATAAAAGGGTCAAAGGCATTGTTTATATAAACTTGCAACAAATAGAAGTGCTTAGGTGACTCAAGTGGAATTTGCCATATATTATGCATGTTATCAATCCATGACAGGTGTTAATAACATAATTCTTCAAGATGACTATTCAAATATATATGGCCATGGTAATTTTACTGAGTTCAGGTATGTCTATTTTTCGTGTGTTGATGTAATATATTTGTTTCTGAAATATGAATAATTTCAGTCAAATTTTAATTAGATCAATATGTAATTTGCTGTAGTGTAAATTTAAACATTGACATCCTTTTTACCACGTTTTTCTTAGCTCACTTTCGTGTCCTTCTGTCTGTCTGTGATGATCAAATCTTGCAATCGATATTTCACCAACTTTCCTGCTAGCTAGCGCTCTGAAACTTTTAGGGAAGCTCAGCTACCGATAGCAATACAATAATCAATAGTTTGTTGCACGTTTCCAGGCGTATTTACTACCGAACCTTTCTTTATTACAGCCACGCATCCAGATAAATACGGGAACAACAATGTATCCCCTCCAATACAATTTTCTACAGAACTTCGAAAAGAATTTTCTTTTGTGCATTTGCGTGGCCAACTAAAATGAAATGAATATTATGTAGGATGGCTGACCTTTGTGCAGTAGTTATAAACTCTAAAGGAACTCACAAGCAGGGGTTGGGAACCTTTAATGCACGTCATCTTCAAGAGGATATTCGTGTTTAGACTGCGTATATCGATTATACGCTTCGTATCATCGATACATACGTCGAGTCAAGTAGGTATTGGCTCGCAACAACGTTTTTCATGTGTAGCAACGGACTAAAAAGGAGAAAATAAAATACTTAAAAAACTAAAAAGTAGAAGATAAAATGTATAAAAAAAATTTTAAAGACCACGTTTTTCATGTGGACTAAAAAGTAGAAAATAATTTTTCGGCAGCTACTGATCTCTGTTTGCTTTCATTCTCTTGGTCTTTTGTATTTCAGTTAAAATATTTTACAACATCTAAAACGAAAAACGTGGGGCGCATCTTCATTTAGGCATGCCTTAATTTCAATGTTGAATTCAACCACTATTTCGAATTACTCTATCACTATACGTTACTCCATATACCTTTGATTTGATAGTGAGCAATTTAATGGTGAACTATTTATTTAGATACTTAATGCATTTTCTTTTCAAATGTCTTAATATGCCTCTTTAGTCCACGCGTTCATTTAAAATTCTCAAAATTTGATTCTTTTAAAATTTTCACATACCCTGACCTGCATTATTCATGATTCATATCTTTACTTGCTTGAATTACTTATACACATTTCAAACTACCTATATTGGATGAAACATGATAAATCAATATACCAACAGTAAATAACAAAATTTGCTCAAATAAAATCAATGGGACAATCGGCCAACCAAGAAACTTCATGAAAGCACATGAAAATGTTAGCGAGTGTAGGACCAAGTGGAAGGCCCATTCCTAAACCATCAACTTGCTTATAAAGTTTACCAGCGAAAATGAAAAAAGAGTTCATGACTGATAATTCTAAAATCTTTTTGAAAAGATTGCGGTTAAGACCGATCACCAGATCATTCACATCCTTGAACAAAGAGTTGAGGCAGATTTCAATAGTTTCTGCAAGAGGAATATTAGTGAACAAATTTTCCACATCGAATGAAGCCATAGTCAGGTGCTGAAGGTCAGGGCATAACTAGTCCTGTTTATTTCGATATAATGTTAGGTCTTGTTTAGGTTTTATGTCTGTCTTTGAATTTTGACTTTTAAAGTGATTTTATTCATTTTTAGTTTAGTCGAACTGATGATGGAGCTGGACTCCGAAACGTTTTCAATATCGATATGGTGAATTTTCTTGGCGTTTTCTTTGCTTTTAAATTCCTTACCAAACAATTAAATACATATGCGCCCTACGTTTTTTGTTTTAGATGTTGTAAAATATTTTAACTGAAATACAAAAGACCAAGAGAATGAAAGCAAACAGAGATCAGTAGCTGCCGAAAAATTATTTTCTACTTTTTAGTCCACATGAAAAACGTGGTCTTTAAAATTTTTTTTATACATTTTATTATTGCTGTAAATATTGTTTATTCCTTATTTGCAGTTCCTCTGCTGGCAGTGTCGCATATTCATCATCCTAAGCCAGGAATGGGAGAACACGTGGACTACCTCAATTTAGTTGATGACAGCTATATCAGGCCGGACACCATCGTCTTCATTATTGTGCTCTTCACAACTGGAGCTTTGTTGTTCCTATTAGTTTACTTCGTATCCTTTATACTACACTCGTCAACATTCAACAGAAAATTCTGTATTTATGCTCAAACAAAGCACATTTGTTCAGTAATCAGTATTTCTTGGCAGTTTTGATGCAAAATTCTCGTTTATACTCCCCTACAGCCCTATAATATCCTCATGTATCAAGAATGAAAGATCCACTATGCAAACATTTTCTTCCAATGTGTTACCTCAACTGGTTCCCTTATTCATTTATTGCAACACTTCTCTTTAACTTCACTTCATGTCTGTTTGTTTGTCTGTCTGCTACAAATCTTATAATCAATATTTAACACACTTCTACTTATCCTATCGATCTGAAATTGTGCACACTTGCGTAAAGTTGAAGATCATGCATGAATCAATTAACAGAATATATAATTTTAAAATTAAAAAAAATTTTTTTTAATTTGAAAAATTGAAAAAATAATTTTTTCTTCTACAAATTTTATAATCGATACTGGTATTCAACACACTTCTACCTGTCCAATCACTCTGAAATTTTGCACACTTGTGCAAAGTTGAGGACAAGGCATGAATCAATTGACAGAATAAATAATTTTAAAAATTGAATTTTTTTTTTCATATATTAATATTAAAAAAAATAAAATTAATTTGTATTGATATATGGAAATAAAATTAGAAATTCATTGTAGATGTGTAACATAGGAGACACTCTATCCTTTAGAAGTGTTGTCTTTAAAAAGTAATTTTTAAACACATATTATTAAATTCCTAACCCTGCAGGGCTGTAGCTAGTTAGGAATCTGTCCAGTGTCTGCATGGCAAGTGGAACTTTCCCCTTTTTTCTTAGAGCCATATAATTACTTCTATATAAACAATTTCATACTCGGACTCAATAGTTGTTAATCTGCTACTTGCCCGAGCAAGAGTATTTTAATTTCAACTAAAATATCTTACTTTTAAACCACAAAAGTTAATTCAAAGGATCTAGTTTTCTGAATTTTCTCTGTTGTATTTCTTATTTTCATCATCGATAGTGGCTACTCTGTTCTCACAATTGAAGAAAAGCCATTGTCAGTATGATTCCTCACTAATTTTTAACTTGCCAAGCATCTTGTTTGAAAATATCTAATTATCTGTGAAATTTGCTGCAAAAATTTAAATCTCTGTGGGTAATAAGAACTACACAGTCCTATGAAGAATAATAACATTTATAAGAAAATCCGAAGGCTATGTGGTCCTTGCTGATGATGATGAAGGATGGTTCTATAGTTTTTAGCAGACACATGGAAACAATGTAGTATAGCAACAAAAGTGTTGCTCTTTCTGCTAAATGTTCTACTTTTCATAATTAATAATGATCATAGAGTCTAATAAAGGTCTAGTGCATGGCAAACATACGTGATTTGTTGCTTCTATTTGGAAAGTGATGAATGTAGGTATATGACTGCGCAAAATTTTACTTTTACGTTTGTATGTGATGCTCTATTTACTTGTTAACTTGTCTGGGCCATATTTTCATGTTGCATGAATCTGGTCTAGTCTTAAATTTAAATTCATGTTTTCTAAGCACTATTGTATTCATGGCCAATTCTTTTACTGCCTGTATTTACTAGACTAAAAATTTTCCTCCTTAACCAAAGCTCTCAGATCATCACTCTATCGGACTTGGAGTGTGATTACTTGAATGCCCAACAATGTTGTTATAGACTAAACTTGGTAAGTAATGTACAAAGATTAGTATCACTTATGCTAACAGCAATTATTATTATTCTATGAAGCAGTTATCGTGGCGCGTTTAGTTCAATCGAACTTGGAGGGCACGTTATGCATTTAAGTTTAATAGCAAGCAAGACGTAAATAGACATGAGAATGGATAAAAATGACTAAGCACTTGATTCATAGGCTCTACGACATAGTTTCGTCTTTAGGCGTCAACAAAACACCTGCAACAAAGAAGCCGATGTTACGGAAGCGGCACTGTCCAGATTCTGGCAGTGGCTACCGGGAACGCTCTGCCGTCTACGGTAGGTAGATTGTGGATAGAACGACGAGGTCCGCTGTTGATGACGTGCGCAGTCGTTTTCTAGAGGATAGATGCGACACGAGCTGCACACATTCCGTGAGATAAGGAGGCGCCAGACCGTGAAGGCATCGGAACGTCTGAACAGCGACCTTGAACTGCGTGCGCTGCTGCTTGCGTAGCCAGTGAAGATCGCGCAATACTGGCGTCATGCGGTCGAATTTTCGCTTATTGCACATGATTCGCGTAGCAGTGCTCATTACGGATTGCAATTTAATATTTGCCGGAGTCGGCAGTCCATAAAGTGTGGCATTACCCTAGCCCATCGTGGACTTTTGTAATGCCTCGAGAGACAGCGGCTGAAGTATTCATCGCAGAGCGCCAAAACAAGCAGTGGTGACTTTGGCAATGTGATTGTTCATAGAAAGTTCCGAGTCTAGCAGAATGCCAAGGTTGCGAACCAAAGACGCAAGCATGACGAACTATTTGCACACTCGAACAGGGTTTGCCGGAAGCTGATGCTTCTGCGGAGCAGTCACAAACTATATAAAGTCGGTTTTTGCTTCATTGAACTGGAGCCGGTTGGAGTGCATCCAGTATGAGACGGCGTCTATGCAGACAGACATCCGGTCTTGCAAAGCTGTAGCATCAGCCGGTGCACAGTAGCCATAAATTTGGTTGTCGTGGGCGAACATATGCGGATTCAAACTATGTGAATCAATCATGTGCAATATGTCGACAGTATATAACAGGTAGAAGATCGGACCGAGATCTGATCGCTGTGGCACGGCGCACCTTCAGCTCGGCGGTTTCAGTCGAGTGGAGATGCACCCTGAAGGCTATATATGCACGAGACTGGACTGCTGAAGATGGTTATTCAGCCTTCGAGCCACAACGCATTCCGGTAGTTACGACAAAATCGACAGGTTGGAGATGGGTCTATATGATTTGGGATCAGAACCGTCAAGTTCTGTTTTTTTTTTTTTCAATAGAGGCGTAAAATAAGCTGATTTGAATAACTCTGGAACAACACGGTCAGTGAGGCAGCGGTTGAAAAGTTCGACTAAAAAAGGTGCTAGTGATAGGGCATTCCCCTTAAGTAACGACGTCGGCAACGGATAACTGGCACACTGCGTATTAGGCAGCGCGTGCGTTGCAGCGATGACATCGTCAGCTGTGACGCAAGGGAATACTTGGAGCACGCAGTCGAGCGGCCATGGCACAAATGTTGCCGGTGGAGCATCGGCAGACGACGCTCGCACAGCAGAAATTTTTTTCTTTTCAAAACACCGCATGGAATTATACCACGCTTACGTCACCCAAAGCATCTGTATGACCTCTTCCCATAACTTTATCCAGCGAATGCCTCATCGCTTGAGGGTCGCTGCGTTGCGCGTCGACTCTCTGCTGCCAAAATGGCACTTTCAGATCTAAGAAGGTCGACAATCCTCCTCCAGCCCGATGCAAACCGAGTCAGCGTTGTAATAGGTCTCGGTCAGTAAGACCTGGCGAAATTTTCTCTCGGTCAGCGAACATTTGTTGAGGCAGCCAAACAATAACCGGCGACACGGCTGCACACAGTGGCGATCAACTCCAACGTAAGGCAGGTTCAGCGCAAATGATTGCATCAGTAGCGACGGCCTACTGCCAGTGATGACGAATATACCGTTGTCGCGCACTGCTCGATGTGTGGCAGCAGGACGCCAATTTCGGCTGGCACAACATCCACGATAAAACATGCGAGGCTTGGGGAAAATGAGAAAATCTACTTTCTCGCAGTCGGATGGATCAAGGGCTGCAGCAGCAGCCCTTTCGCTTCGCCGAGTAAGCAAATGGCGCCATGCATAGCAGCCAAATTCATCTTGTGTCAAAAAACAGTGACGCACGTCTACAGTCAGCTCGAAGCTGAATATAGCGAACGCCAAAACGAAAACCACAATGTATTCTCCGGTCGAAAACACGCTTACATCGACGGAGCGTGCGTCGAGCAAGCTACGCGAGCTACACGAGCAAAACACGTTAAAAACGGAGCCTTGGGATGTTCGTCCACTCCAGCCACGTTCACATTCAATCCAACATGGCCGAACAAGCTAAGATGACTGATCGGTGTTGGAACATTAATAACAGGCGCCCACAGTCAGATTTAATGGCAAATAATTCAACGTCAGAATATCGTTAAAGCGTAATCTTCTTAGTCAGAACTTGCTTATAATGATTTTCAACGCAGTTTCAAACAAGAGTGTTTCAAATTCTTACACTGACGCAAGTCAAATACAGAGTAAACCAAGCACAGCAACACACGTCCGCCTGCAATCACAGCAGGTGCAAGACTCCATTAACAATAATACCATAGTACCTTTCAATATTGAATATGTCTGTGAAAATTTATATATAACATACATTAAATATACATACAATAAGATATACACGAAATTGAAACCTATCTTTTAAATTTAAAGTTGACTGACATATGCTTAGTTACATTTTTAAATACTATTTTTAGTTCTTCAATCTTTCCATGCAAAATCTACCATTTGAATACTACTGTTTAATGACAGTCAGTAATATTGCAATGCAACATCTCAATGTACTATGCATCACTTGCTATAGGTACTATCTCTGCTATAAGAGATTGAATTAAGCGCTTGAGTGTCCATCATTCATATGCATGTATGATTTTTATTTTCATTTGCAGTGGGTGATTCCGAAGCTGTGTGCTCACATCATAGCCTCTTTGGTGCTGCTCTTCTCAGGACACTACTGGCTGGCTGCCATGAACAGCCCAATTGCTCTTGTTTGGGCCAGAGAGTACGTCAACTAGTAAAAGTTTTTTTCAACATTTCCCCTCATAATTGATTTCCACTGCATAAAAGATGTGAATAAATGTATGATGAATAAAGTAAATGTCATGAATCAAAAACTAACGTGAATGAATGACTATTTTGATCTTTTGTGGTTATTTAGACTAGAACTATGGCATAGATTTACTAATGATTATATTTTGATCAGGTACTGGAAAATTCCATCAGGAAACTTTGGAGTGTATGATCCCACCGAGATTCACAGGATGGGTAAACTCAAGCGACACATGAGAGACGTGTTCGTGGGGGTCATGTACTACCTTGTAGCCTTCTTCATCTACCTCTACTGGTGAGTGACATGTACTATCTTGTAGCCTTCTTCATCTACCTGTACTGGTGAGTGACATGTACTATCTTGTAGCCTTCTTCATCTACCTCTACTGGTGAGTGACATGTACTATCTTGTAGCCTTCTTCATCTACCTGTACTGGTGAGTGACATGTAATGCCTTGTAGCCTTCTTCATCTACCTGTACTGGTGAGTGACATGTACTATCTTGTAGCTTTCTTCATCTACCTGTACTGGTGAGTCAGCTTAGGGTCATCATGTTGAGATAAAGTTGTAAAATTTGTCATAAGATTTTTTGTTGTGATGAGATTAATAATATTTTTTTGTAGATTGACGCACTAATTCTGTGGACATACTTGCTGTATAATGAGGTATTGCTCCCATGTGTGACTGTTAGGAATATTCTCGTAGATGAAATTTATTAAGTTATGGTTGTGAGAGGGATTCATGCTGGTTAATTTCCCTTCTTCTCATGATAGTACTAAAGATAATTTTTTTCTTGGCAGCTTTCTTACGCATTTGGTGAGCTACAACCCACTTCCAAAGCCCAGATATGAAGAAGAGGTTGGGCTTTAATGCTCAAGTGTTTCATCGCCCCATATGGATTATATATACATTCATATGCCTCTACTTCTTACTCAGCAAAGCTGATGTTTAATTAGGGGCTTTTTGCTACTTGTTTTGTACCTGCATGAAATATTCTTTACTGCATTCCTTTCATAATTCTGAACGCAAAGGCTATGATTACTTACCTCTCTCCTCTTGAGTAAAGGCCTCCCTTCTTAATTTCTTCTGACTCCTTCACAATTATATTCGTAGCGTTGAATGAGATGACTTGTGTCATATACCTCCATGAATTTATTTCCACCTCGTCTTCTCGTTATTTTTGAAGCTTTGTCGAACGCGTCATGAGTATATACCGTATACATCAATCTAAAGCCTTCGTAAAAATTCAGGCTAATTTACAGCATGCCACTCGTACAAGAATTTTAAACCTAAATTTGTTTTTAGGGGTTAACACCATAGCTATTGATGTCAACACTTCATTTTGTACGAGTTGTTTTGCTTTAAGTCTTATTCAAGGTAACTAAGTGACAAGCTCATCAAGAAATGCGTTTCCTAAAATTCTTAAGGCCTGCAAATATCAAAGAAGCAGTCGACCGTAGTTTGTTTTAAGGCATTTTGTTTGATCTCAGTAGATATCATAAGAAGGAAGTTTGCTGTACTGACATAGCAGATTGTACCTTCAATGGTTTTACTATTAGTAAGCATTGTAGTTCTTAGTAACGTATTCTAATGTTGAATCAAAATGTTCTGTAATTTATAAACCAGCTAATTGATAAGTTATTTAAGATCCCAGTTGTTTCACTGCTGTAGACATAGGCTTGATTGTTAAAGCCAGATGCTCTGATTATTTGACTTGCTTATTTCGTGATTGAACTCAAGTCTCCATCTCGGTGCTCATAGGATTGGGTGAAGATTTTGCGTTTTTGGTCTCTATATTTCAATCGAACGAAGTAATTGAAGACAATTTCCTTTCGTAATAAGTAATACTATATGTTCGTACTTAATAACGTAACGCTTCAAATAGGACTATTGTGTTGCAAATTATATAAACGAATTTCTCTTCTACAAATATTGATCATTGTTGAATAGTTTTATCGTTCTTGCGATCGACTTGTTGATAACTCAGTCTCTTATTCAGGATGAAATTTATAACTGAATTATTGTATCTAATTTTCGTTTATTCATATCACGATCTCATTTGTAATCGTATATAGGCTTAAACATATTAATGTATGCGTTGGGCGGTATGTGAAATGGCATATTAAAATAAAATTATTTTTGTGATGAAAGTAGGAATTGCTCCAAAATTTATCAAATTCAGAACAAATAGCAATATTAATGGCCGAAATTACGTCAGATCTAATTATGCTCGGCATTACTTCTATGTTGGTTCAACTGCAGTGGCCTCCTGCTCTAGGGCTCTTCATTACCTTCCAGAAATAGATTCTCTTCAACTCCGCCTGGAGCTAAGAAATAAAACCAACAACTTTCCTGAGTGTTTCTGTTAGACTGAATAATCCATGACTGTGCAGTTGTTGTTTGCCTCGTGTTGTGTTTTGTGTGGCTAAAGTGCGATGACGTTATAAATAAGGCCCTCCCACACGCCGACCGCCTCGTTACTATTCTACTAAAAGGTCTACCAAGAATTTGTCATTCAGAAAGGAATAGTTCAGCTGAGGATATATTCTTATATCTATCAAGGATTACGTTTTAAATGACATTGTTATATTGGGACATGCTGCTTGCTATTTAGAGATGAAATTCTTTTAACATGTTTATCAAGAGTTTTTTTATGTATGCGAGTAATGTTGACAAGCATTGAGCAATAACCGCATTGAAGTCAGCGCTCCTCTTATCCAATTATGTAGAACTGTTGGGAGCCATGGCGGCCATGTTTCATTGTTACTGTTATTCAAAAAGATTAGCAAGGATTGTTTATTCACGCCTGCAAGCTTTAGTGTTTTCGAGTATTTCCCGGGACTAGGTGGCACAGTCCAATTTTCTTTCTTTACAGTTTACATGTGAGTTTTATAGACGGATATAGGCTTGTGCTGTGATTATACGAGTCTTTACGTAGAGCATGATAGTAAGTTCAGTGTACCGTAGTAGTATGGCAATTTCAATGTAGTTTTGTTTAAATTAATCTTGATGTATTAACGATACACGCAGTTCTCTCGCTCGTTATTGCCACGAATGCAGTGTTCTATAATTGTATGGACTAGTAAAGATAAAATGTAAACTGTTATGAAGCGAAATTCATCGTGTAATATTCTGAACCGTTCATGTTATAGCTGTGTAATGGTTGTGGAAATAAGAAGCATCATTCGTTCTAGATCTACGAAATCTACAGCATGGAATTATTTTGGTTCTTTCGGTACAAAAGAATAAACACTACCATTACCATGCAATAGCCGCTGAATGCAATTTTAAAATAAATGTAATTTTGAAGCCCTTTGAAAACATAAACAGAAGAAGTCTAGAAGTCTTCAGCGGACGCAGTGTTTTTTGCGTAGATTTGCAGCTTCAAACCATGAACTTGACATTTTAGCCTGGGGTGAACCTGGCAGCTTGAACAGAGGTAAGTTGTCTTCAAGTGGCTAGTCATGCTTGTCTTTCTAATTCAACATAAACCTAAATATCCTGTATTTCTTGACCTAATTAGGAGAATGAAAATACGTTGAGGAAAACCTTATATGAACTCGAATGCATTCAACTATAAATATTGGGTAAAGAAAATAAGACGAAGTGTTTCAACAAAACGCTGGTAAATGCTACTGGAGAATAACAACTCAGGCCTAACTCGCCACCCGTGCAATAAGTGCTGCAACACAAAATTTTATGATGTGCACGACGATTTTATCAAGCTTCCTATTTAGTTATTAATACAAAATAAGTGTTCTAAGGAGACACAAATATTGAGGTACGTGACTTAGACTGAAAATTCTCATATTTTACATAAAATGAGGGGGCTGAATTCAAAGCAAAAATAACATCCAAAACAAGATGAATTTCTTTACAAAAGCTAGAGATTAACTCAGCTAGTGGCGCCAACCGTAAATTATACGATGAGGGTAATGAAAACTTGATCAAAATTCAAGGTAATAGCAATCAATAAAATAGGGTAACACAAGCAAAATAAAACTAAAATAGCTAAATCAGAAGCGTAAACGGCAACTACTTCAACTGCAACCAAATCAAAACGACGGTGCAAAAAGTTCAATAAAATAATAAGGTCGACCTAACTTGGCGCTTTTGAGGGACCAGTCCTGTGGTTTACTGCGGACAATATCAGTATCGCATCAACAAAATATTGAAGTGAATACCTATTAATAACTTGCGCTGCAGTTGTGTTCTTCCGCAGTTTAGTGTTGTGAGGTTCCATCAACATTAAGCCAAGTAAAATAAATCAACCAACACCATAAATGTTATATATTAAAAAAAACTATCACAATGTTTCCAAAAGTCAAAACATTTTGTGAAATTGCAGCAAAAGGAAAAAGGCCGCTGCATTATTCATATGTTGACAGTCGTGCGAACCTGGGAACTCTGATACGATTACAAATCACCCAACAATACATCTTGAACCATAAGAAAAGTAATTGAAATTTCAAACTCGTCCTAATACTATCATACAGAATAAACTTTTAAAACAACTAAGCGCAAAACAATGCTTTGAACGTCGAATGAAATTCGGTACATAAATTTCCCTGAAGTTCATCACACCAGCCAACGCTAGCGTTGCTATTGGATTGATCAGCAAAAAAAACATCAGCTTGTTGATGTAGTTGCACGTCTTGATGTCCAGTATTGGATACAATACTTACCTTAGTATTGTATACAATACTGGATTATGTTCATGCCAAACTTCCCTTCAACGACAAGATAATATCAACACGACACTAAAGGTAAAGTATTTAGAAGAACATGTCACAATTGAAGTCTGACTGAACATATGAAGTATTTCAACACGTAAAACTTGTTCGTCAGAGAGGACCATATTTTAATTTTACTTAATTGTAAAGTAGCTCGTTCTGGTTTTTTATTCTTAAATCTCCAATAATTACGAAAAATAAACATTGAAGCATTAAAAGCGTTTGGTGAAAGACTTAGGAGGTAATTTGGTATCATTTAGAGTACTAGAGTTAGAGAAATATTGACGCCATTTGAATGCCCAATTACTATTTTCATCAACTGTTTCAATTGATTCTGTATGATGGAAAATCTTGCGTTGAAATAAGAATTTACTGGCAACTCTAATAATGCTGTGCAAAACGGTTGCTTAGGCTAAGATAAATTTCGCTCTAAGAATTAGACGTGTTGATTGGGTTAGGTAACTTGCAGACATGTCAGTACATTGATACAAGTAAACCAAATATTCAAGGGGAATGCTAGCACACAACGATTGCTACACAAGACGTCAGATGAGACAGGGCATGTCAGCACACACAAAGCTCTTAACGAGTATCCTCACATATGCTTATTTAAACACAGTACACCGAGTGATTACTTCGTACATCTTAGTCGTATCGTGAGCCAACTCACAGCATTATTCAGCAAAAAGTTAAGAAAGTTACACCTAAAAGTCCTAGTTAAGCTTTAAATCATATTGGTAGTGATGGCAAAAATTGGGCAGGTAATCCAGAAAATGAACAAGTATTTTTCAATGAAGATTCATGGGTCGTATTTCTCTCAGCTCATGAATATTTTTTGTGATGAACAGAGAAGCATAATTATTTACAAGCAAGCAAGTTTTGAAGATATGGAGTTGCATTGTAATTCATTCTTGTAACATATTTCAACAGAAGTTGTAACTTGTATTTTAAAGACTGACATGGAAAAAAACTCGCCCATTTTGAGAAAAAATAAACCCGATAGAGTTTGGTAGATCACCAAATAAATTGTCAAAAGCAATATAAAAATGTTGAGGAAGCACGAAGCAGAACTAATACTGATATGCCTTAAACATACGCTTATGATGACACCACAGACAGAGAAATGTTTCACCACAAGTCTGCAAGCTACACCTTTTGACTGATCATGACATACAAACACTAAACATCAATACATGCTGCAAGTCTAAAATTAATCATACCGTCTACAAAAATACGTTTCATACTTGCATGAACCACCAAAAACGCGGAAATATTCCCTCCAAAAAAAAGGTGGTCCTGTAGAAAGCAGCACAACAAAATACATCACAGAACTCAAGACGCGCTCAATATGAAAGAAGATCATTAAAACAAAAGTACCCATATATCTTAGAGCGGCAAGAAATTCCATCAAACCAGGGCATACAAAATAAAATATCAACAATACGACAGCGTTAGCATATACAATGCAAGGAGCACATCAACAATCACCCTGTAATTCCAAATACCATTGAAATAGATAATAACCAACACCTGTGTATCCTACAAACAATAACAAATCAATCATAAAGAAACGCGTTCGCAATAAACAATATAATAATAATAAGCTATACGACTACTGCACAGTTAGGAGCAGTCACAAATTTCATTTATATGAAAAAATTCAAATACCGTACACTACACACAAATTGGCAGTAGTAAATGTTCTCCATCCAGTATCCGTACAAATATTGTCCACAGTCATCACATTTATTTAAAAATTTCAACCTTAAAATGAATATCTCTTAATCCAATAAGAATCTACAGCAAATTGAATCATGAATTCATTAATGCTTCAGCTTCCAGAGCATCGTTATTCAGCTGATTTTTAGTGATCATTCAATTATCAAACGGCCCTTAATATCAGGTTCATAAATTAATATCACTACTTGATGTGATTCCACCCAAACATGTCTTCAGCCACTTGACATTCAGCAAATTGTTGTAGGTCTTTAATCAAGTGCTATTAGAAATCTACATTAATAAGTCGACAAGGTATTTTTGGAAATCTCTCTGTATATTAGCTGTTGAAAAATTAAAGTGTAAAAAAGCTTTCCCAGTTTTCATAATAAATATGTTATTACTGGAGTAAATCTGAAGACAAGAAGCAGTGCATCAATTTTTTTCATAAAATAGTGCATTTAGTGGTGCGTTTAGAACGTCGTCCAAAATTTCTGTGCTGGCTTTCACATCCTTCTTCTCCATTGTCCGAGTATCAGTCATCCTGCGGGGCTTTTGTCAACCTCTTGTTGCCTCTGTGTGCTGGTCCCTTAGGCTTGTTGAACTTAGGCCTGTGTAAATTCTGTTTAGGATGTATTTCTTCCATGAGAAATTCTTCTGTGAGCTCAGAACCTTCTCCAATCTCTATCTTGCGGCTAATATTAAGAGAGTGTTCTGAGGCCATATAGGCAGTGAGTGTGTTAGTACAACTGCTGTACACCATTCGTTCCTTGATGGGACACACATAGCCAGGCATAGAGTAGACAAATACAACACTGTGCGTATAATCACCTTCCCAGGTGTGGTCAAAGCGGTAAAGGTGATACCGAGCATTAGTTTCAGGCACCTGACTTGGCAATTCTGTTACAGCAAGGCTTTTCTTCTGAGCTTCAACCTCGATTTTCTCATCAGTCAAATCAATATAGAGACGCACATACTGCAAATCTCCCTTGGTAAAGGAAGCAACAGCTTGAACAGCTCGATTGGACAGTGGGAAACTCAAACCTGTCATGGTTTGATGCTTGGTGTTGATCCCAATATCAGGATTGACTTCCTGACGTTTCACTTCCATTAATTCTTCTTCTTGAGATGTCAAGGGAGCAGGAGCCTTGCTTGCTTCTCTGTGCTTCTCATAAAAAGTAAGAGTTGCATCTTCTTTGCAGGACACAAATATCTCTTCCTTGATTTGGGTACTGCCAAACTGTCGCTTGAGTGTAGCTTTAGTTGATGCATAAAGCATCTTAAAGCGTATGGGTGAGTCATCTGGAGACCACAGCACCAAAAGCCATTCATCACTGAGAGCCTCTGAGCTTGCATCCCCAAGTCTAAAGAAAACATAGCGAGGATTCTTTTCTTCCAGTAAAGGCAGTACCTGATTAGTATAGTCATCTTCCCATTTTCCAACCATTGGCTTCCAGCTATGGCACGTGAGCTTCTCATCTTTGATCATTACTGCAAAAGTTCTGACATTTTTGCTCTTGCATTCTGAGAAAAATTGCTTCAGATCTTCATCTGCTTCAATTCCTGTTTGGTGAGACATTTTCACAAACTATTTGTAAGATCACTTCTTATAAGTTGATCTAGATTATTATTTAAACTAGAAAATAGAAACAGGGGTTTTCTTTCACTAAATCAGTGAATTTTAATTATGTTCATGAGCAAAAATCTATCTCAGTAAAGTAAATGGATGATGAGCAGCTCACTGGCAGTAGTGATGAAATCACACATTGATGTCATCCAGCAATCTGACAATACTGAGAGCATGTGCAGGTGAAGTTTCAACAATGACACCACCAATTACCATTTCCTCCAGGACAATGTGTAGTTTGGCAGGATTTTGAATGATGGTATGACGTGAAAGATTTGGGAAGTATTGGCTCAAGGCTGACAAATATAAATTCAGAAACTCGTAGACTTGTAGTAAGTTATCATCAGAATCCGCAGAGGCGATGAGCATACAAGCACCAAACCAGCGATACACCAGAGTACGACTCTCGTTGGTATCCTCCACAAAGTTTTCCTGTTGAAAAAAATTCAGTAATTAATTTGTTGTAAATTACAGTGAACATCATCAAATAAGTTGGAATTTAAAGCTCAGTGATGATTTGTTTTTAGCAAATTATGTATAAACATAGATCACATTATCATTATTTTTGAACATTATGTTTAAAATTATAGCAGCCCAATTACATTCACATCACATTTTACATTTTTGTAGATAAAACAAATATTTTTGGAACACGCTCAGCACAGTAACATACTCAAGTTGTAGCAACTCCTGCATTTCTGACAGTTCAAACTTTTGTCATTGATAATTATAGAAATAATAAATTTATAAAATGAAAATATCGTTTTCACAGAGGAAATTTATATGCCATCAATGTACTTTGCCTTAATGAAAATTGTAGTAGTCTAAACTAAACAACCCATTTTATTATTAGATAGGGGGCGCAGCCGTAGGCTACAAATTTTACTCTTAAATAAGCCCTGGAGCCAATGCCTAGCTTCACCATGCATTAAGGGGATTGGCTACCCTAAAATTTGAAAATTTTGAGTTTTTCTGTTTCTTATCTCATCTTAAAGGTTGTTTTCTTGCGCATCGAACGGTATAAGTATCGTCCCTGTACGTCGAAAAATGACTTTGTGACAGCAGGGGGGTGGTGGGGGCAGCCTATAGTAATTCCTAAGGAAATAATTACGGGGCGTGACTACTAAAACTGCGAGCTGAAGCCAAACCTCTCAGTGCCATCATGACAGCAACGTGAAAGGTGTGCAGCCAGTTGCTCCATGCCTTCCTGACTTGGATTAAGGCTAAGTTACGGTATCTTGGCAGCGTTGCGACTCTTTTATGTCTATTTAAGTGCTGCGCGGGCAGTCTTTTGGCCGTACTGAAAACCTCATACTGCTCTCACGGCAAATCTATCTCCTCCTACAGTTTTCGAGTTACAGCAATGAGACATAAACCATTCGATTCGTAAAGACCAGGCCTATCGACTCTAACATCACTTTATTGAATTTTGGTCTGGTTCGTTTTTTATATGGGGGAGAAGGGGGGGGAGGGGTGAAAAATGAGAAAAAAATGGGAAAAATGGAAGAAAACGCAATAAAAAAAACTAGATGGAAAATGAAAAAAGTGATGTTAGAGTCAATAGATATGGTCTTTACGAATCGATTGATACATGTCTCGATGTTGTAGGATGATATTTGTGGGAGGAGATAGATTTTCTAAAGTACCCCTTTTTAGCCGTTTTCTAAGAATTTCACGTTTTCTATCAATTTTTCGAAAAATTCATAGGAGCAAAATGTTTTTCTTTTTACATTTTACGTATGTATGTGAAGTTTCATGACAATCGGATAATAACTGTAGAAGTTTTCTGTAGGGGTAGCCGATCCCCTTAAGGGGAGTGTCTACCCTAAAAATAAAAGTTTTCTTACTTTCTACCGCATCAAACGGTACTAGAACCATCTCTGTATGTTGATTTATGCATTCAGGACAGATCCCGAAAGGGGGGGTGGGTGGTGGGGTCCCTTCACAAGTCTATGGGGATAATTATGGCCAAGCCATATAAAATGGCTATCACTGGACCAGGTGGACCTGCAGCTCAGTTATCACTCAGCCATCATGCGGAAAGGTGTTGATATAGTTGTCCTATGCACTGCTGACTGACTTTGAAGTGAGATAACGCTTACTTCTGGTATCTAAGCTACGTTACATGCCTTTACATAGCGCACCGCGGTTTTTTGCCTCTACTGAAAAGTTTGAAACATGAAAACCTCTCTCACGACAAACCTATCTCCTCCTAGAGTTTTTAAGCTACAGCAATGGGAGACATATTTGATTTGTAAAGATCATACCTATCAACTCTATCATCCCTTTTTTTGAATTTGTGCATGGTTTGTCTTATATTTGGGGGGGAAGGGGGGGAGGGCAGGGAAAAAGTGGAAAAAATGGGAGAAAGGTGCATACAAAAAACAATGGGGAAAATGAAAAATTGGAATGATAGAGCCGCTAGATAATTTAGTTACAAATCGAATGATACATGTCTTGATGTTGTAGCACGATATTTGTAGAGATAGATTCTCTACAGTACCCCTTTTCGGCCATTTTCTATAAATTTCACGTTTTCTTTTATTTCTTTTTAAATTTATATGAGCAAATTGTTTTTTATTTTACATTTTACATATGTGTATGAAATTTCAGCAAGATTGGATGATAAATGTAGAAGTTTTTCTGGAGGGTAGACAGTCCCCTTAACTTTACTAAGCCTCAGAACTAGAAGCCGCAGACTACGCTTGAACTCCGTAATTAGGACAAGCGACACACTGCCAAAAGATAATAGCGCCGTAGGTCTTCAGTCAATGCTTAAGCATGCTCCCTCATAAGCAGGCAGTTCTGCATCTGGCTGTATCTACCCTGGCCTAACCTCTTCTGGCCTAACCTATTCACGCTGTTCCCAGCTCACATCCTTCTTGCAGACAATGACTGGCTCTTCCACCACACTTGGACTGCCTTTCTAACTTCTTGCAGCAATAAGGTTAGGATAGGTCTGCTCAGGTTTGTTTTGGGTGAAGAAAGGTTTCAGCTCATATAGGTTAGGCCTGAAGAGGTTAGGCCAGATGAGGTTTGGCCAGATGCAGTATGGCCATGTTTACCTTTGGCAAGCTTATTTTGTGGCTGTCAACATCTGGCGCTATGGCTTTGAGTACCATCAACCGGAGCTACTCGGGACGGTTTTGAGAGTTTTTTGTTAGTAACTTCTTACCATGAAACATTTCATAAACAAGTTTAGGCTCATTTTATAGCTCTTTGCAAGGGCTATCAAATGGCATCTTAAAAAAATTCCATATGCTATTTGTAAGGTGCCAGAAGCAAAGAAAGAGTGTCCCGAGTAGCCCCGTCGAACGGGGCTACTTGGGACACTTGGAATAAAACTTCATTTTAAAATATTTGAAGCATGCAGAGTGTACTCATCCATTACTAACAGTACTCTGAAGTCCTCCTCTTTCGTTGTAGATGAGGTAGAGGTAGAATAAATGACATTTTCTGTGATTTTTTCTGGTTTTTTCTTTATTGATATGATATTACCATAAACATTAATTACCATCAACTGGGGTGACTTTGGCTGGCTTTTTGATTTTGTTTTGCAAACAAAAATGGGGTCGTAAACGCCAGGATCGTAAACAAGGTCATAAATGCTGGAGTGACTTTGGCCATCGTTTATGACCTCGCTTTTGTTTGCAAAACAAAATCAAAAAAGCAGCCAAAGTCACCTGGCAGCCAAAGTCACCCCAGTTGAGGGTACCAATATTACCATATCCATGAACATGCCATTGAGCATTTACAACAACCTTGTCCACTGCAAGCTTCATATCAACAGCCTTATAGCATTTTTTCTGTATCTGTAAGCTTATAGGATGGCTTGTAATTTAACACCATTTTAATTGGGTTAAGTGAATTTACTATAAAAAAATATAACTCAGTACTCACTGCAGTGAGTGACAGAGCGCATTTTCTCATCGATGAAACACGGACGGATGGATAGACAGACAGGCAGACATAAGGACAGGCAGACAGATGGACATGGCGAGCACAATACCGTAAAATGGGGTAACTTAGACCACTTTTTTTTATAAATGATGCCATTTTTTACTAGCTAAATTAAACTTGAATTGAAACATGCAAAATACAGGTCTATACTCTAGCTTCACTCACCATAAATTGCTGGCTCCTGCCTCTCATAGTCTTTATGTAACGAATTCGTCACACAGAAAATAAAAGCTTCTACCGAGAGTAATTACATGTTTGGAGTCTAGCCGCGAGTGTGACAGTAGCGTCACATGTTGTGAACTCGTTCGAACGACGTTCGATTGAGTAGGTGCGCCGCTACTGCCAGTACAACACAAAGACTGCGCGTGATCTGAAATGCAATTCAGATTGTTTTTTCACTTTCAAAACATAATTCAGTGCGTATAGGGCTAGTTACTCGTTAGCCTTCAACTGGTCAAGATCGCTGCCATATCTACTGCTCACTTTTATCAAACTACATAATTTTCCTTTCCTTTGCTATTTTTGAGGATTCATTACAATTATTCCCATATATTCTTAAGTTTGATTAGCGCGGTTTTGCTTAACACGGTAAAACTCGGGGATTTATTAACCACGTTAATCAAGGGATTGCTGTATTAGGCCTTTAATGCCCATTGACAAAATTTTTCTATGTCAAATAGTTTTTGAGTTGTGGGGGTTTTTGTTGAAAAAACAAAAAGTGGTCTAAGTTACCCCGCCGGTCTAAGTTACCCCATTTTACGGTAGTGCATTTATTTCCATAAATGAGAAAATGCGCTAAAAATATTGTGAAAAACATACCTGAAACAGAAAGGAATGTTTTAGTGACCACCATCATATGTTTTGGAGAAATAAATCATAGTTTAGGTCAATTACTTTTCATTCTATGATGCCTGGTGCACAATTCTAAATACGACATTCTATGCACAATTTTGTGATGACCGATGATGCACTAATTTTTTTATAAGTGAACTTTTTTTCACTCAGCAAGGTAAATGTAATCAATATTCTTTGTATTTAATCAATTTTTTTCTTAACTGGAGCCTTTGCTAACTGAGGTTCTACTGTAAATGTGCTTTTGGGGGTGTCCCGAATAGCCCCGGGGGGGGTGTCCTGAATAGCCCCGGGGGGGTGTCCCGAGTAGCCCCGCCGTGCGGAAATGACCGCCATTTTTTTTTTGGAATGAGATAGGCAAAATCTGTCAATTACATTTTCAAGCCGATGCTAATTGCAACTATTATGTAAGTAAAATTTTTTAATACGGTGAATATCTTTCACTACAGACCTTAGCAGAAGTACTAACTTTTCAAAATATCGTTTTTCACCATTTTTTCAGGAGTTTTTCATAGCTAGTGAATATAGTATTTTTGAACTTCCTTTATGGTACTACATTATTATTATGTCTACATAGATAGGAAAAATGTTGACAATTACGCCACTATATTTAGTTTTGCAATATTCCAATTGGTTTTGCTACTAAAATAGTTTTACGCCATGTCGGAGACTGTCCCAAGTTACCCCGCCCGTCCTGAGTAGCCCCAGTTGACAGTACTTGATTAATAAGCCATTATGCACTCTAGCATTCTTACCTATAGAAAGGAATAAGAACTAAGAACAAGTGTGAAGTTTGGCAAAGCTGGCCTCCAGCGTGTGCCCCATTACAAATTCAGAGACAGTATGGGTGAATATCAAGGGGATTTTAAATGTCATGTTACTCATGACTCATGTGTTACTACAGCTTTTGTGGATGCTACAGAAATCAGCGGCTTTCAATAGAAATTGATTACTTCATGGGTAATTTTCATAAATTGCAGGCAAAATATGCCATTTTTTAACTTTTATGGAAGAAATTAGTCAAGGGACATAGAAATATTAGAAATTAACCCAGGTATTTGTCTCATTTAGACTCACTCACAGGTTGCTTACAAGTTGCAACAGATTTTTCAGCTAGCCAATTCCGATGGCCTTAGGGTAAACGCGGTATATTCCGACATCGTAGGTAATTCCGTCACCTCTCCAGCTTTTCCTTTATATTAAGCTTTGTTTTAGTTCCATGCGTTCAAATGGCAACATTTTGTGACGTTTCATCGTTGCTGATGCGTAGTGAAGTGTTTTGAGAGTCATGTGAAGGCAACAGAACTTACGTAACGCATACGTTTTTTTTATAGTTTTTCATTTCTTGATGCGTCCTTAATGTGTCGGAATATACCGCGTTTACCCTACTCCAGTCTCCACCTTAGGCTAGTCAGTTGCATTTAGAAAAAAAAATAAAGAAAACAGCACATTTAGCTGCAAATTTCAAAAAATCTTCCAAACAATTGTGTTAGCCATAAATTTTTTGGATTTTGGAAACTTTTGTCAGTATTTTGACATTTTAGAATGGACAGGAGCCAGGGGTCTTACAAAAAACAATCTAATGCTGAAAAAATTAATTAGTTTATATGAAAAAAAAATTTGTTGTAATAAAATAAATGCCAGTTATAGGTACTCACAGGTTTCTCAGTTCTTGAGTCCACCATACACTTTTCAATTACTGATGCCAGACCAGCAGGATGACAAGGACAGAGCTGGGGATTGAAGCGGTGCGTGAATAATACCGCTGACTCCTTGGATGCAATGACTAGGAAGTATAACATGAATGGGCAAAAATCTGGAAGAAGCTTTATCCTAATTGAATCAACAAGGGGGAAAGGGGGGATGCAAGGCCAGGACTCAGGAGGATTAACCTGAAATGTTGAAGGCAGAAATAAGCATAAACAATGACCTTGATGCCTTGTTCCTTATCTAGAATATAATGAATTTTAGGTAGGCTAGGTGACCTAGGTCGTCAGCACCTAAGAATGAGATTACAACTTGACGAATGACGAGTGTGACTAACTCGTTTTTTACTTAAACGTGAATCATCACTAGATTTTTTTTTATTCCTGAAAACGCAGCGGCGGCGGCCGTGCATATATAATAAATTTTTTCTACAAAACCCAAAGTCCCAAACCAGAGTAACTTTTAAAAAGTTAACCAGTATATACATTTCTTGGATATACTATAGGCCTATTGCCTGATAAAAACAATCAAGTACAACAACAACGAATCAAGTTTCTAGGTTTTTAAATTTAGATTAATGTACATAGCTACTTTGATTCTATTATTTGAGCTCATGTTATGAAATATTTATTCCATTACCCTTTCACAAGGGAACTATTAATGCTGTTCGCTAAATATACCTATTTATTGTTACCGAAAGTAACCGAGCCACTTTGTCCGAAGAAATGGGTGTTTCAGCTTGTGCGAAACTACAGTATTTTGTGCATTCACCTCACATACGACATTCTAAACTCACTCAAACTACGTCGGCAGGGAGCAATTCAAGTTCATCCCAGTGGTGAAATAAGGCACTAATACAGATATAGAAAATCTGATGAATACTATTACCGTTCGTTCAAACTGGGGGTTTTTATATAAAAATCTCTCCTTGGCCTGGTTCATAAAACCAGTTTAAGTTTATCGTATCTTTTTTTTGTAAAATTATTCACACATATGGCTATCGAACGCTAACTTTGATGATTTACCTCAAAATTGGTTAATCAAAATATCGGGTTCATTTTCAATTCGTAAGCAATAATTTCGTAATCAAATAAATTATTTTCAATTACTATTGCGCTGTGGTGAGGGTTCTTTCGCATTTGCGAGTGAATAATGGGAAAGAATCTACCGTCAATGCCACTAAAGTCGCCACCTCACTAAAGTCGCCACGCTGCAGGGAAAAGGAAATATTTATTAAAATCGACCCAATACGAACATTTCGTTATCGTAGGAAAATACTAGAACATTTATTAATATTGCCTAAAGATAGTAGAATGCATTTTCGACAATTGATTTGTTATTAGTTTTGAGATTTCAAATCAACATGACGAAAATTCGTTGAGCGAAACGAATTTTTTCATTCTGCTTGATGAACTGCGTTTGGGCGATACTTTATTTCCGCGAAAATGTTTTCCCTTCGAAGTTTGGGTCATACCGAGGTGAAACGCAGTAAACAGAGGTTCGTTTTGCTTGTACTCCCTGATTTTAATGATATGGAAATTTATTTATAATCTATCCCAAACATAACTGGCGACTTATGTGTTTATAATTTTGGGAGAAATGGCGAAGTTTGTGATGGTTATTTGCTTTAAGAGCCAGGATTTGAAGATAAATGTTTATTACTTTTTAATACCTACAACGNATTTAAATCACTTTTCCTGTTAAGTTTGTGTACTTACATACATTAAAATACGATTTTTCAAGTGTACGAATATTTATTTCCCCCCACTGTAAGAATGTGGCTGATTCATGGTCATTTCTCAAAGGCACGGTTATGTCACACACTGGGCAGGGTGGCCCAGTGGTTAAAGTTCAGAGTACCAAGATTGGAGCAGAGAGGCGCGGGTTCGATCCCAGCAGAATTGTAGCAGTGAGTTGCGAGTTCGAGACCGCAAAATGCTGTGAATGTTCTGCGATGTTAAGAATCGGCGACAGGCCTACGGCCTGATAAACGCTGAAACCGCTATTACTATTATTATTATTATTATTATTATTATTATTATTATTATTATTATTATTATTATGTCTGCAGTTGATGCACGTGTACCTAAGACTAAGGGGAGCGTCTAGGTCCAAAGGTCGAAATTTTGGCATCTCCGGTTTTTAGGCTTATCTTAAAGCTTACTTTCTGACGCATCGAACGGTGCTAGAACCATCTCTGTAGGTTGATTTATGCATTCGCAACAGATCCCGTAAGGGGGGAGGTGTCCGGGCCCCTTCAGTAAAGTTAAGGCGGAAATTACCCGTCCGGGCACCATAAAGGAGATCGTCTGATGTAAAGCGGCCAATTATGACATTCTCCAGTTCTTATACTCGTCTTAGAGCTTACTTTCTGCCGCATCGAACGGTACTAGAACCATCTCTGTACCTTGATTTATGCGCTCACGACAGATCCCGTAAGGGGGGAAGGGGGTGGGGGGCCTTCAGTAATTCCAAAGAGGGAAATTAACTATAAAATGTGCTCTTCACTCGGCTAGAGCTCAGTAACCTCACAGACAGCACGCGGGATGGTGTTCATTTAGTGGCTTCATGCACCGATGACTGAGTGAGTTGATGCTTACTTTCGGTATCTAGGCTACGTTACGTGCCGCGCGGCGGTTTTTTGCCTCTACTGAAAAGTTGCTAAAGCTGAAAACCTCTCTCACGGCAATTCTATCTTCTCCTACAGTTTTGAATCTACATCAATGAAACATATACCATTCGATTTGGAAAGAAAATATCTACAAATGTCAATTGATCGTTTTTCCAATTTCGTTATAGTTCGGATTTTATTTTGCAAGAAGTATGGTAGGGCGGGGGTCAAATCGAAAAATTTTGAAAAATATCGGAAAAATGCTCCCACACCCACAAAAATGAGAAATCCAAAAAACCGCCAAGTGACGTTTTTAGATATGGTCTTTACACATCGAATGATATGTGTCTCGATGTTGTAGCTTGAAAATCCTAAGATGAGATAGGATGTCTAAAGTACCCCCTTTTTGACCGTTTTCTAAGAATTTCACGTTTTCTTCATTTTTTCGATAAATTCACACAAAAAAAAGTCTTAAAATTCCGTTTTATATACGTGTACCTATTTTCGAATCGATCCGTCTGTAAATAACCGAGATAAAGTTGTCCCTAGACGCTCCCCTTAAAGCTCGGAGGAGTCAAAAGTCCCAGTGGATGAACAGTACAGTTATAGCTCAGCTAAAAACCAAAAAGGAATCCTACATGCGTTATTTACGACCTCGCAGTGATTCTGATTATACCCTGTACGCAAGAGCTCGAAGTCAAGCTACAAAAAATGTGTCGCACCGCAGTTAAAAACAGAAAAATTATTGCCGATAATGCAAAAAAGAACCCGAAAGCCTTGTTTTTGTACGCTAGTTCTAAGTGTAAGATAAACGACGGTATTTCTTATTTGAAAGTAAACCAACGAAAGATATCCTCTGATGAGGGCAGGGCTGATGTTCTTAATCAGTTTATTAACAGTGTGTTCACATATGAAGACTTGAAGAGTATTCCAGCTATTGAGGAGCACCTGTAGGCTCGAAGTTAACATGCTTTGAAATACACGAAGAAGAGGTTCTCAAGCGCCTGGTCGCTCTAAATCCCAGTAAGTCATGTGGACCAGACGGCTTCCACCCTAGATTGCTCCAAAAATAATCAACCGTCCTGGCCGGTCCTCTGACAGTATTATTTCAAAAAATCCTTGAACGAAGGAACTTTGCCGACCGATTGGAAAGAAGCTAACACTATTGTTAAAAAAAAGAGGCTTTGCGATTAAAGCACAGCAGATCTGGAGCAGTGATCTGAAAGTTCGAGACCTCAGCAAGCTGTGAATATTCTGCGATGTTATGAAACGGCGGCAAAATTAAGGCCTAATAAACGCTGAAACCACTATATTAATATTAATATTATTATCGTTATAAACATATTAATAGAAGCTCACAGATTTATAAATTTTGGCAAAAATTGTGAAAATGTCGGTTTGATCTCATTCAGTGAGTCAGGGTCAGGGATGGGATGAATATTTTATTCATGGTTGAACTAAATAAGGTAGACCCACGGCGATGACGATTTTTCGCCGTTCAGCGCATCTCTAGCGTGACGTCACTGTGGGCACAAAATGCATATGGTGTAGATCAACACATTTTTTATGTCATCTTTAAAAGCACAAAAAAAATTTTTACCTCATCAAAATGGCCCAAAAAATGTATTTATTGCATGCAAGTAGTCTTATTCTAAGAAAAACCGGTGTTACAACAAGTCAACAACCGGTGTTACAAATCAGTCATTAGAGCCATGTCATAAGAGTCAAGGTGACGTCAAAGTTGGAATAACAAATGACATCCGCAAGGCGCAGATGCACGTGGGAAAACCTAGTATTAGTTCAGCCGTGAAAAAATTTATCTCATTAAAATGGCACAAAAAATTTATTCTCTGCAACTAGTCTTATTTTATGCAAAATATGTGTTACAAATAATTTTGAATCACACGATGACGTCATAAGGTGACGTCACAACGACTAAGTAGACGTCACGGTTGGAATAACAAATGACATTCGCAAGGCGCAGCTGCGCGAAGGTCAACCTTATAAATTAGGTTGATCCACGAAAGTTCTTCCGCTGCTGGGCTCGACAACATTACAAACACACACCTTAAACTCATTGGTCCACACGGAATCGCGACACATACAAACATTGCCAACTTCTTCTACTAACATTCCAAAATTATATACATCTGGAAAATCGGCAAAATAATCACACTTCTCAAACCCAACAAACCACCACTGAGGCCGCCTCATACAGACCAATCACACTACCCTGTACGCCATCAGAAGTCATAGAGCGCCTGATACTGGACACAGCCACTCCGCACATTACACTTTATCCAACACAACACGGATTCAAACCTCACCACTCGACCACAAAACTACTCACAAATCTCACACAAAGCATAAACGATGGCATCAACTCCCGCAAACCCGCACACAGAACACTACTCTTACAATAAACATCAGTAAAGCCTCTGATGCCATCCCTCGCCTCCCTCTCGCAAACAGAATTTACACCACATTACACAACAAAAACAAACGTTGGCTTGCCAATTACCTGTCAGGAAGACAAGCATACGTACACTACTCTGGCAAGTCATCACACATATCACCCATACCCAACGGAATCCCACAGGTCTCCATCCTATCACCCTCACTCTTCAATCTATACATGTACGATATACCCGAACCACCTCCAAACATCCACATTGCCTCCTACGCAGACGACGTTACAACCAATACAGAGCAAACATCACATTAAACAAGACCCCGATCCCGCACACACACGAAACAAAAATATTAGGGGTCACTTACAAGACCTCCATGACTTTTGGTCCTCACACCAACAACAAAGTGAACAATGCAAACATCAGACTCAACTCCCTTCAGTCCCTAGGCGGTACCAAATTTGGCAAAGACAAAGAAACACTAGCACCCACATACAAACAATTCATCAGAACAGTGCTGGCATATGCCAGCCCCGCCTGTGCGCCCGCACTATCCAACACCAGCATACAGAAACTCCAAACACTGCAAAACAAAGCACTCAGGATAGTCACAGGCTGCACACAAAGCACCCCCATCGAATACCTTGACGCCGAAACAAAAATACTTCTAATAAAAGCACACATCGACACGAGAGGAACACAGTTCATAGCTGCAGCCATAAAGAACATAGAACACCCATGCCACTACCTGCGCGACCACCCACCTACACACAGACAAATAGTGCAAACCCCACATAGATACTACACCAACATACTAAACACAGTACCCCCACCCTAAGGCAACACCAGCACAAAAAAAAACACACACAATTATGACACAGAGAACGCTGGAGCTGGCCGGCAACAGCAAAGTCCTTGGACACCCACCACCTGACATAAGCAGCACAGAAAACCCAGCTCTCTAGACTGGAGAGAGCACACCTAGCCAGGCTGCGCTGCGGCCACCACTCCTCACTACAAACATACGCAAACAGAATTGGCCAAGCCAGATAATTGGCCAATACCACCAGATAACCTCGGCTCTACAGCTCTGGAGCGACCCCCCTGTCGGTGGTGTCGTACGGGCGCGAGGGGGTCTCTTAACATAACATAGTGATCTAGGCGCTGCAGTGTAGGTCTGATGTGGCCTGTCGTCGATTCTTTTCCTTTTCTCTTGTAAAAGTGAGACCGGGAAACCACAACAACAACAACAATATTATATTAGTTTAACCATGATTTGAATAACCTCATTTTTATAATAATTAACATGGCGCTGATCATACATTATCATGTGCGGTTAATAAAAATAGAGGTATCTAAGTGTATCTAACTACCATATGACCATAAACATCATGAGAACTCCATTACAAAATTTCAAATACCGTGTGAAATTTCCCACATAATTTTTTGCGTAGCATTTGCTTTTGATTAAAAAAATGTACATTTTAAAACATACATGTATTTAGTACATTTGATTTTGACTGGAATCCCTCGTCCAGAAGCAGCGGAACTGCGGAACGTAGTTACATGGTTGTTCCTATTCCTAAAGTTGTCCCAAAGCGCGAAATTGAAAGCATTCGATTGAGACGTAACGAGTACGTTAATAGGTTGCGTTACCTATAGAAAAAGCTTCTAATAAGAATCTAATTGGAGAAAAGAGAGTTCTTACCCTATCGTAATTTTAGAAAAACTGCATATTGATGAGCAATTTGAATTTTGAGCATCAACTTCTAAGTTCAAGTTTGAACTTGATCTTCTCGACGGAACATTTAAAGCCAAATTTATAGTACCAGCAGTCTAATTAGCTAGTATAGGTGAGTAAACTTAGAATAGTTAGCCTAGTTTTATTCATAAATTCCTAATGAAAAAATTAAACTTGTATAAATTTTGACATTCATATATTTTTTTAAAGTCTTTAAAACAACAACATGGTTGGAAAATTAAATAAGTTCACAATTTTAGCTAGCTAGCCTACTACAAATCTACAATATCACATTTTTATTGTTCCAAACCAATACGTAATATTGGGCAAAAGTCAAAACGCAAAAGTTTTCTTAAATTGCAAATTATAATAGGTCATTTTTTCTAATTTCTTATTGTCCAAAGAAATTGATAAAAAGCTGTAGTGTAGAAACAGACATAGTGCCTGTGCCTAGTGGCAAAACAGAGAGTTTTTTAGACTTTTCTTCAAGTTCAATTTCAACTTTCAAGTCCTATAAGTAGACCAGAAAAGTATCATATATACCAGCTACCAGCTAGTCTGGAAAAGTCCTATTTTTGTCTGAAATATCACGGCTCTAATATCATATAATTTCAGTAGGTATGAAATCTCGCGGCTCGAATGTCATAAATTTTTGTTTGATTAAAAAATCGCGGTTTGCACTTCGCAAACATGTCATTTCATAAAATTTTCAACTTCCGCAATCCGCATTGCTTTACCGTTGTCTCTTATACACATCTAGATGTGTATAAGAGACAGAGTGTACCCTTCGTCAGTATCGCTGGCGACTTTAAAGCAGGTACTATATACCTCGCCACTCCCGACGGGGCTCAAAAACTTCCATTTTATTATATGATCGAGCAATAAAAAAACCTCGTGACTTTTTTTCTCGAAAGTCTAAACATTAGTCAACCCTGTACAAGTGTTACATTTAATTTTTAGCTGATCGGTGTTTCAAAATCCAATATATTCTATTGCGTTTTCCGAAAGTGGCGACTTATGTGGCATTGACGGTACGCCACAGCGCGATAATTATTAAAATAATATATTTCATTACTAAATTACTGTTTACGAATTAAAAATGAACATCATACTTTTTAACCAATAATTATAAAATATAGTAAAGGTTAGCGTCCAATAGCAAATTGTTTTTAATCAAAACCGTACAAAAGAGTCGATTCCACTACATCGGCATCGCATCGATACTTTTGGCCTGGAATCTAACCCGACATTTTCAACTAATGGTAGCAACTTTTCACGCATAAAATATCCAAATCTTTACCCATTAGATTCTGATTTGAAAATATGGCGTTTTATTAATAATGCGCTCCCGCGAGTGCCGTCAGAAATTTTTATACTCATTTTACCAAATTAGCACGCTAAATGCTAACTCTAGGCTACCTTTTCACGTATAAAATCCTCAAATCTTTTTCGTTAACAGATCCTCCGTTTAGTTTTCGTTTAGCGCGCTGCGCAAAGAAATTACGAGCCAAATTCTGGGCCAAAAGGGTCCGAGCGAAGGGTTGGACAGCGTGACCCGACGAGTTTCTCATGCTTTTCCCGATCAACGTGGGTGATGATGGGCTCAAGTGCCATGGTGATGAAAGAATGTGCTATGGTATGGTAGTGATTGAAGCAAGGGCCTGGTATGGTGGTCAGTGAAGCAAGTGCCATGGTATGGTGATGTTAAGCTCGATCCGTGATCGAGAGCGGACGCACGTGTTTGTGATTCCAAATTTTTAACTTTTACTGTGCCGTTTTGGAGCTCATTTTGCATTTATTTTTATAGACCGTGTCAGTAAATGACCGAATTTGAATGAATTCAGTAAAAGAGAGTGCAAATAGAGAGAACAAGCGTATAATAAGAGTGTTTTCGTCTGAATAACGCTAGTGTATAGAGTGATTGAGGGAAGAGTGACCGAGGGAAACGACCGAGGGAAGAGTGTGCCGTACCAGGACACAAGACAGAAAGCCCATATTTTTCGCCCAAGCTCAACTTACTTCTACACTGAACACCTTACGCCCACCAAATCCAACCCACCGCTTTCTGAAAGCCGCTACTTTTGAGTCGGTAACCGAGTTTTACAGTACTTTTCACATTTTCACAATTTTACTCAACTTGATTAAGTTTTCAGCTTCTGTTTTTTTTTTTTTTTGCTCTTGCATTTCATTATGGCTGGACAAAGAGGAAAAAGGTTAATTGAAAAGGCCTCTAGTACTGTTAAAACAAATGCAAAGACTAAATCACAATAAGAGCGAGGGGAAATTTGTTAATTTGCAAGCTGGTTTCGGTTAACGTCGCTGACGCTACAGTGGCCTGTGACCGTTGCGGGGATACCATTTATAACGCCTAATGGTGGTGCAAAGTTGAGCAAGACAGATTGCTTAGTTATTCGCATAAGCGAGATAGTACACTGGTATTGTCAGATTAACTGCCAACAACCTGCACTTAGCGCTGTAAAAAGTAAAAAAAACGGTGGATGAGAAGTGTTCATCTATGTTCTAAATCTTTAAGGCCGAAATTGAAGATAATCACAAGAAAGAGTTTAGCTTGTTGCGTAACGAATTACATACGCTACGGAACGAGCTGTTAGAAATGTAATCTCATCTGCACAAAACAAAAATAAGCGATAACAAAGAAGGGATTCAAAGAACAAAGAAGAACAAAGAACAAGAAGAGATTTTAAGAACAAAGAAGAGATTCAAATTAAGAAAAGGTCCCCAACAAACATTGAGAATCTTAAGGTGGTGTGCCAAGAAGAATGGTATAAAATACCAGTCAGCATCTGCAAATCATTGGTCGAGACGTATAGAAATAGACTGGTATCTGTTGAGCTGAATAAAGAGTATTCAACCAAGTATTAAATTAAAATAATGCGGATTTATTGTTTTGTACGAATACTTTTTTCACCCGAAGAAGTTAACATGTTGCATTAATTTTTGTTGCATTGAGATTTTATTTCTATTGATGCTATTTTTGAATACAATGCGCCTCTATACATAATATAAATCACTTCTCCTGTTCAGATTGTATACTTACATACATTAAAATACGATTTTTCAAGTGTACGAATATTTATTTCCCCTCACTGTAGCTAGTACAATTCAAGCTTCAAACAGAGCTTCTCCACCATTTTGCAGCCAGATTCCTGCTAGATGAATCCCATCCTATATAATTCTTATCAGAAGTGCGTGATTGGGCTGCAAGATTTTAAATGTATAAGAAATTTTCTTGGAAGTCATAAGATTCATAGGTAGAAATACTCCAATCCTGTGCATATTGATGAGCAATAACTAAATAAACAATTTGTTATCAATTATCAACTTGCAATACTAAATATTCTGTTTTGGTACTTATTCTTTGTCTTTTTTCTGTTACATGCATTAGCACACTTCATGCTGTTCTATGTGCATGAGTCTAACATTGGTCAGGCTGCAGTGGTCAGGCTTTACAGTGTTACACACTTGCACCGTGCATTGACTGCATGCAACAATTGTAAAAATGCAGTGTAGTCGTGACTCTGCTAAGAGTTGTGTATATATATGCTAGCCATCAAAGTTCTTAATGATCTAAGATTTTTTATTTTGCTACGCAAAGCAACTTCTCCACAAGTACCTCGGTTTTGGTCCAAATGAATCTGCATCTCTTCATTCATTTACATCTCAAAATCTAACAAGACCAAAATATATACAAGTAGAATAATTAGCTTATCAGAGAGCAAGTTCACTTGATCCTGATTTGTTTTAGATCTAATCATTTGATGAAAAGTGTTTTAGAAGAGCCCCAGTTGATTTTACTGATCTTTATCAATTGTTCATATGTTACTACTGTAATTCTTTGTGCACCTTCATGGGATTTAATTTTCTAATGACTTGATAAAACAAAATTTTAGAGAAGAAATAAGATTTTGAAAGAAATGTTTTCATGTTACAGATCATCTTCATCATGCACGCCTTCTTGAAGACTGGCAAGCTTGGTTCAGGAGGAAAAGGTGCAGGAGGGAGTGGCTCCTTGAAAACTGGGACAGGTTCTGCCAACACCCCAAAACCTTGGGTTGAGAAGTACAGGCCAAAGAAAATATCTGATGTGGCGGAGCAAGACGACGTTGTTGCAGTGCTCTCAAAAACGATGAATGGTGCTGACTTCCCCAATCTTTTGTTCTATGGTCCACCAGGTACTGGCAAGACGTCAACTATCCTTGCTGCTGCTCGGGAACTTTATGGCAAAGATCTATTTGGGCAGCGAGTATTAGAACTGAATGCTTCTGATGAGCGTGGTATCCAGGTTATCAGAGATAAAGTCAAAAACTTTGCTCAAAATTCTGTTTCCAGTACCAAGCCTGATGGTTCTCCTTGTCCCTCTTTCAAGCTAGTTATTTTGGATGAAGCAGATAGTATGACTCACGCTGCTCAGGCTGCTTTGCGTCGCACCATGGAAAAGAGCAGTCGCACCACGCGCTTCTGCCTCATCTGCAACTATGTGTCTAGAATCATAGAACCTCTGACATCACGCTGCTCCAAGTTCAGGTTTAGGCCTTTGGGTGTGGCCATTCTGGAAGAGCGTCTACGCTCCATTTGCAACACTGAAAATGTTAATATCAGTGATGAAGGAATCTCCGCTCTGATTGAAGTTAGTGAAGGCGACTTGAGGAGAGCCATCACTGCACTGCAGTCTGTTGCTCGACTGCAAAGCGGTCGTGAAATAAAAGAAGAGCACGTGTACGACATCACCGGCGCGGTGCCTCAGACTTGGCTGAGAGGGCTGATAGAGGCTTGTGCGTCTGGATCTTATGACAAGCTCTCTGCCTTCGTGGATGATCTGATGGCCGAGGGATATGCTGCTGCTCAAATACTTCTGCAGATCCACGACTGTATTGTTGAGGAAGACAATCTAAGGGACGTGCAGAAAGCAGCTGTGTGTGAGAAAATTGCTGTGTGTGACCACAGGTTGCTCGAAGGTGGAGACGAGTACTTGCAAATTATGGATCTTTCCTGTTGCCTCATGCAAAACCTCACCAAGTGAGACAACAAATTTTTATGATAAGAGTGTTATAGTTGGCCCTTTTGTTGAGTGGCTGCTCTAAATGCCGTTGAATGGTTGGCATCTATTTTCGCTGTGTATTTTGTCCATGTTGAATTTACACCAGTGTAATGAGCTATCAGTTATCAGTTCCACACTAGTGTAATGATCGATCAGTTCTTATGCGAGATGTGTTTGGAGGAAGTGAATAAATCACAGTTCATATTTGCTGTGCAAAAAATAGCTTTATTAAATTTTGCTGCAAACAACATGATGGCGGTCATTTGCAACATTTGAACAAAATACTACTAAAATATTTTATGTTTACTAGCTTAAGACTATAAATTGTACCCGAGTAGAGAACTCATGACTACTTATTTCTCATACGATTTTATCGAGTATTCTTGGCTTACAAAAATAATTAGTCATAAATTGCTTATTAAGAATGAAGTATAGCTTGTACTTCATATCACACTTCTCCTTTAAAGATGCCTCAGCAGAAGGTACCAAATAATTTTAACCTTCCTATCATAAAATACGTATTAAATATCAAGTTTCTTTTTTCCTGCAGTCTTATAGGTGTTAGTGAGTTTGTGAAGTAATATACAGTATTAGTCATCTGTGCGAATCTCAGAAATATTGAAGTGCTTTAAATTTTCTTAGATTTTGTAAGAATCACTTTGGACACTCATCGCGTGGCTGAACGTCGTCACGCGTATTCAATAACTGCTTAGTTCTAAATTTCAACAGAAACTTGTGCAAAAACTTGGGATTAATCTGCTGAATATGTGCATCAGACTTGTTGGCAATTGTGGAATTTTTGTCTTGTTTCCAACTTGAGATCAGATTCCAATAATAAAATCACTAAGGCCACGTTGAGCAGGCCTTACAAATTAAAAATAAGGCATTACAAATTAGGTCTTTCAACCTAAAAGAAAATGAATCCTATCCATATTCACATAATAATCAATATATTACACATTCCATGGCATTGGCATCATCGCGCGTCACGAGTTCTGAACTTTTGTACAGACTCCCGCAAATATATGAATAATGGCATGTGAATGGTTTTAATCCGACGCCTTTTTCCATTAAAAAGAAAACCGAATAACAGTAATGTATTACATTTATAGAGGTAGTGTATACTGAGGGGACAGTGAGATCTCTGCAAGGGCCAAATGAAAATCACATTTGAAGCCTAAGGAGGCTTATCTACCTACCTAAATGAATCCAGATGCCCAAGGTAAAATCTTATTGGCTTATATATCGTATCAATTGTGGAATAGCAAGATCTCGATCTTAGTCTTCTTTTCAGCCACAAGTCTACTGAAGGTAGCGCCAGTCGCCAGGCCTTCAAATTGAATAAGATTTGACGATGGAAATGTATCCGCAGAATAGATGTCAACTCATTCTAGTTGCCCGGCCTTGAGATTAGACGGTTCATCTGTAGCCCAAGAGTTAACATTTCTTCAGCAAACGCCAACTCTACTTTCCAGGGCCGCATTATCAAAATTAGTTGAGAGTTCTTAGCTCCGTCAGCCAATTACTGACGGCTTTTTAATCTGAATGCAGCAATCACAGACGAGAAATTGGCAGCTGAGTGTATTTGAGAGAGAGTTTTGATAGTTTGGCCCAGGCCTCCAGATACGTCGAGCATTAGCGACGATTAACGCACGTGTAAAGGAAGAGTTAACCAAGGTGGATCTTAGCCTTGTAGCAGGCAAGCTGCTTGTCCTGCTCTGGGCTGCGCACCGTGACCGTCGCTCTGTACCAGCCGTGGGTTGCCCACTCAGGAATCGCGTCGCTGCCTGGTAGTTCGACCTCACCGTCATCAACGAAGTATTTGTCCTGAGGGAGGAGCATTCGCGTCACAATTCACTGGCGAACATTTAAAGTGAAATTATGACTGCGCCACGAATATGTACTATAAATATATCAACAGTCGTGATGAACCAAAGTATCTATACTACCCTTTATAAGCAGCACAATTTCTGTTCTGCCGCACTTAAAAAACATGCAACGCTCATGGACGAAATTCTTTATACTGCAACTTCTATGGGTTTCAATATCATGAATTATCGCACTGCAATTAAGGGATTAAAATATGGCACTGCCAGTCGCGAGGTTTGACAATCTCATTTCAACTGCTAGGGTCGATAACAATGTTTAGCAACTGACAGGCATGACGGGACAGGAGCAAGGCAGGTGCAGGTTGTGAGGAAGCACCGCGCATGAAGGCGACGGAGTGTAACTGCAGACGTCGTCGTACGTGCAGCTGCCCACGCCATCCACGCACGGCACAGGTACCCACATCAGCCACACATGACGCTCTACCTTCACCGACACCTGCAAGTGCCGGAATTGCGTTAGCTCTTGTGTTTTGTTTACTGATGAAACACATTAATTATGATAAGAGTTATCGTTGTAACCTATTCTACATCTATGCTCTGATAGGGATAACTTCCAACGAGAACGTTATTCAAGATCATCCAATTACTACGGTTCTATCTGTCCTCCGTTAGTTACACACTTTCACTAGAGACATAACTTTCTTGGAAAATACTTTTGTAACATTGCAGTGCGGGTAGAGAAGAGCACGGGACACTCCTTTTGCTTTCGCAACTATGATTTTGTTGGCAATTTTTATACAAGAGAATACATGTAAGCTTCTGTTACAATTCCAGAAGAATATTGCATCGTACGGTCATTTTAAAAATATGTATTAAAGGACTACCGTACAAGGCCGTCAATGTCATCTGCATGCTTTGATATTTCTAGATTTGCTTCACAATTTTTGCATTACAAAAGATATAAAAGTAAACCTTAGTTACGCATCTCGATTTAGAACTGATAAATGACCTTGACCGTTGCACCAAAGTCGAATTCAACGAGGCTGGGAAGCGGAAAAAAATCAATTCAATAGATCTAAAATTTAACTAAAATATATAAAAGAATTTGAAAATTAGCAGTTAATAGTTGAAGTACAACCTGGACTGGCGCAGATATGACGTCGCTGACGGTGGCCGAGAAGTTGAAAGTTAAGGGGGAGTCAAAGTTCACGCTGGCGGGGCTCCATTGCAGTTTGTTCACCTGAGGAGAACATGACATGTGGACCAGAGATACGGACATGCTACTGAGGTGAACGCTAACAAAATTTGCACTGAATCAAAAACGTTATTGAGGGGAACTTTCAACCCTTGTCGGACTAGATATGCCTAACTGATCTACACTCGGCACTATTAAAACATTGAAAAATTAAACAGTCTAACAAGAGATTAATGATTAGCCTCTAATTAAAAATACTTTTGTATCGCGCGGCGTCAATGGACAATTTATAGAAATTCAACATAACTACATTTGTGATAATGCAAGGAAATTGTGCTTCAGATCTGCTGGTCTGTATGAAATAATAGAAGAAAATTTCAGCTCTAATTTCTTTAAACAAGATATAAATCAATTCAATAATAACAAAATCAGAAATAATAATGATAATTAACAATTGCACGTGCAATACTCGAACAGTTGACTCCCGATTAATCAACTAATAAAGCCCGAGCTCTATATGAATATTCTACAATACAGATAAGTACAATGAGCTGCCAACAACTTCCATCATTTCTACACTAAACATTTTACGAACTCTTAAAGGAAAATGTAACACATCAACTATGCGTGACACACATGATGACCGATAACAAAGATCAGCAAGAGTTACGGTATGCAACTCACTTGAATGGTTTGGTTGTCACCTCCGCACGACTCCACCTGAACCTTAGCGATGAAAATCTAGAAGAGCAAGAAACTCATTAGCACAATCATATCGAAATATAATTATAAATATCAATGTTCAAACACAGCAATCACCGTACAAGCAAACACATGTAACTGCGCGCACCAATCACGTTTAGAACAACTCTTCAGATAAACCTTGCCACTTCTGACTGGGTAAAAATACCATTACTTCGAATAATCCTGAAATGATGGACATTTCTGAAGCAAGATAATTTAACTAATAATTATTGATTGAAGCTATACATTTTTAAAAGTTTTATAACGTATTGGCTAGTGTATAGTGAAAACCATGAAAGGTGTATTACATTCAAGCTAAGGCGATTGCGACAGCACGATCTGTGCAACTGCCAAGAATGCAGAATTGCATTTCTTACTTGATTGTTACTGATGTCAAAGGATGCCTTCAACTTACATCGTCGCCACGAGTGAAGACAAAGACGCCATCAACTTACATTGTCTCCACTGGTGAAGACAAAGACGCCATCAACTTACATCGTCGCCACGGGTGAAGACGAAGGACGCCATCAACTTACATCGTCGCCACGAGTGAAGACAAAGACGCCATCAACTTACATCGTCGCCACGAGTGAAGACAAAGGACGAGCGCACGTTGCCCTGCGGCAGGTCGGACTCAGTACTAGTGCTGCAGTCAAAGCTCGGCTCGATCCACAAGTTGAAAATAATTTGGAAGGCAGCGGCTGTGATGACTAACGTCGTCATTAGGATGGTCACGCATAACAAGAGGCGGAGTACGCATACAGGATCGGAGGCGGTAGCGTACTTTTTGAACCTGCAACCAGGCAATGGTCGTTATTTCTTTAATGGTACAGGTTAGCATTTGTATAACACAGTTGATTCAGACAATGATAATAAATTTCAAAGGATGTGTGTGTTATAGCTTGAGAAAATGGTTTCGTGTCATATAAAAGGAGAATACGAAAGTCGCCAAACAAAAGAAACGCGTCAAGACAACCTAATCCACAAAATTTCTGTCATCCATTGGCAGAAATTTGGAATGTCTTCAAAATATGCATGTGTGAAAGGATATTATTGTGCTTCTTGAGCGTTAATAATAGCGTACAACATCATGCTTGAAATCAGTCATACTTAATAAACTAACACACGAAAGTTCTCTGTGGCTCATTCGCAAGCGAATTTAGGGTTGAAGCTAAATACACTCATTTTTATACTATATACGAAAATATTATGTCTGGTACAACAGAACTTCAACAGGGGACTAAGATGAAGTTTGAACTTCTATCAACATTAAACAACAAGCATATTTAAATTTATTACCAAGACAAGTTAGTACCTGTCGATTAATGCAGTCCCCGGCGCTGTTTCGCAGGCTTTTTGACATCCACAGGAGCGATTTTTTATTTGACTGGAATTGTCGTGCAAGTTCCCGACATCGATGTTGATTTCAGGCAACCGAGCTTTGCTAGCTGAACGTTTCGGCGACGAACTTCTTATCTGCATCTTCACTAAACTCGGACTCTGATGAACTTAAAACTTAACTGGAAGCAGATCCACTCATGCCAAAAAATAAGGATATCAAAGACTATATATATATATATATATATATAACATGGGTGGGTACTAGGAAGGAAACTTATCGTCCGATTTTAACCGAACGTATAATTTTGTAAAAAAAAGTGCAATGCAACGATTCCAAACTTACAGCAAAATGTACAAATTTGAATAGAATACAACAGGTTATAATATCAAAAAAAAAAATATTTTGCCTAAGGAAATTGCGTAATTACTTCAATATATTTAGAAGGCTGAGGACAGGATGCTTGAGACCGGCCAGCTCACGCGACTATCTTGCAGTTCAACTGTTGAACCAAGAGCGACAAGAAATTGAAACTAAGGTACGTTTGCAGTTTATTTGAAATGCGTTGGATAAATTCTCACTGTAAACTAAACATATAAATGATATATACACTCTAATCTAAAAGCTCAAAATAATTGCATTGAGCGCAATATAACAACTGTAAGTACATTTTTTGAACATTTCTTCAACCAAATTACTAAGAAAATATATATTTTTGAAGTTTTATCTTCTACGTGTCTATAACATATTCCAAATCAACGTTTCCTTTAGACAGTATAAAGGAAATAGTGTTCAAAGTAAACAAGAACTCCATTACCCAAGACAAATAACATCCCGAGTCCCAACACCATTCAAGACCAGAGCTCGGCGTAGACTGATGTAGATAACTAAACGAGTCATGTGCCGCTACCAAGTTGTATCTTTGCCATACATCTCAGGATATATGCCTCTCGAGCATCACAAGTCAAAGTCTGCATTTAAATTAACAGCAGGTAAGAATCACGTTCGCACCTAGCAAGCGCGCTTCAATATGAATGACGCGTCTCAAGGTAGCTGATATTACCACCAGTTTAATGATGGGTGTGTGACAATATTAGATAAAAGGGAGTTCTGAATGTTTTCTCATACGACGTAAGAATTTGTTCAGAATACAAAGTGTAACTCTTCATTAATAAGATTTCGTGACTCTGAGGTTCAAAGGCATGGATAGTTGGGCAAGACTTCGACCACAAATCCTCTCTTGCGTGAAGTGAAGTAAAAACAAAGACGTACATAGGAAAATTTGATGTAGCTTCTAGTGAAGAGTTCAATTGTAACAAAAAAGAAATAATATAAATAATTTCATAAATATCCTTTACAAGAGCTCGAAACTCGTTATGGGATCGAGCTTTCAAAAAAAGGATCCTGTGAAGAAGTGTCAAAATTTTTGTTGTTTCTGCCGAAGTTTGGTTAACTTTTCTAAATGCATTATATTTTCACAAGCATTCTGACTCGGAAATGTTCACTGTGCATAGCGCAGCGGTTATTGAAATGCATTACAGCTTTTACTTTATTCATAAAGTAAGTTCAGAGAAAGTAAATATGAACAGATATTCCCATAATGAACTACCATAAATGAGTCCGTTAAATGCCATTGAGGCACGAGAATTAGTTCATATTCAAGAGGTATTTTGCAAAACTCTGGTTGTGATATCAATTAAACGCCGAAACTCTTGTCACAATCTGCAAACCCAATGTTAAAAATTTTCAAAGCGAACTGTTTTTGAAAAATATATAATAATATCGACAAGTAACAAGGCCGAAGATTCAAAGTCATCATCACTAGAACGGAAAGAATGAAACTATAAGACTTGTTAAAGATATTTGTACTATTGTACACAGCAGTAAAGCACAAATAAATTATATAAATGAACAAAATAATCATCGTTTGACTTCAGACTATAAGTATATAAGTATATACACTCATGAGTGGATGCAAGGAACTTTTAAATTCCACTTTTGAAGTCACTTCACGACGTTGCATCATTTTAACCTAAGATTTGACACCAATATACGTGAAGTCGCAACAGTTTTGTAATTTAAACTCGGAAAATTATTACCATAGCACTCGCTGACTGTCCGTCCACCTATAGAGTAAATCATGAAAAACTATAATCACCTTAAAAGCTCATGATATTAACTTGAATTAATAGGTAGTGCAACTGTCAAGCTAGATCAGGAACAGAAATGTTGGCAGCTTGTAATTTGAACATTTCCGACAAGCCCCATGAACAATTCTGTAGCATCTGAAGGCTCTGTTCACTCAGGCAAGCTTTCTTTTTCAGGATCTCAATCTGCAGGCAGAAATCATCAAGATTATCGGGACATTTGTCATTAGATTGCAGCAAGGAAGGCGCAGCCTGAGAATGAAGTGGCGTCACTGTGTTTTTAGATTCCGTAGGCCGTTCTTGAGGTAATATTTTATGATTTCCAACTTTAGTGGGCTGTTCTCGTTTCTTTGAAGGTTTGGCTTTACTCCCAGATTGGGCCAGCATCTCTTGAGGCGACTGAGCTAAAGACCGTTGTTTCTGATGAAATGACTTGCTTTTAAACTGCGCAGGTCGCTTCTGCAAAAACTTGACTTTCAGTTTAGTTTGTGCTGGTTGTTTTTGGCTTAAATGTTTCATTTCATAGTCTTGCTTTGCACGTTTCAGAACATTTCCTTCCAATTTTACCTTCTTGGAGGACAGAGAGAGCGACTGGTCAAAACTTGGTTTCGCAGCGGGCAGATATTCACCAGATGTCACTATTTCTTTCTCACACTTGGGAATCTTCGATGCCTCTAAACTCCCGTTAGCATCGGATTCTTGAATAGATTCTGTTTGTCTCTTTTTTGATATGCCACTATCAACTTTTGAGAGGGGCAACACAGGGTCAAAAATTATATTACCGTTAAGCGCGAGTTTTTGCTGGAACGTTCGCTTTATTTGTACCACTTCACCGCATTCCTGATTTCGTGGTTGTTCACGGGATAAAGTGCCAATGTCACCACATGCGTTTTCTGGAATATGATCCCTTCTTCTCATTCGCATTGGTTTACCACCTCCAGCTTTGTGATGAGGCAGTACAGGTCCAAAAATAGAAGGCGTAGCTCCAGGGCGTAATCGAATCTTGGAGCTCGAAGAACGATCGATGTCCTCTTCTTTGAAGTGTCTAGCACACAAGTAGCTGAACTTGGTAGGGACAAATTTATATCTGCCTGTTGCATTCGCCCATTCTTGTCTTCGTACTGGGTCTTTCGGGAACCTGTGAAAAATCGCTTGCATTGTCATAATTTCCATTCGAACTGATTATCCTTTCTATTTGAGATTCTCGATTAAGAAACAGAGGTGTTAAATTACGTAATTGCTGGGTGGAGAAGTAAATATATATTGATATCGAGTAACGCGAATACTGATAAACACAGATTTTGGGATAAATAGATCATCGATGACAGCAGAGATGAGAATTGACCGGTATAACGGTATAAATAACAGGCACTTATCGACTAAATATCATGTAAGAATCAGCATATTCATATAAATTAGCGTCGAGCATTAAAGAAGAATGAATTCCTGAATTACACACGAAAGATAATATATTTCTAGCGCTGAGACTTACTGGTGCAGAGATACGGGGCTGTTGTGCGTTGTGACGCAGCCAGACGCAGAACAAGTTTTCATCTTGGCTCCCGTAAACCAATGAAGCGCTCTAATTGGCCACACTAATAGTATTCCACACCTTCCTACCACCTAAAAGAAGTATGGGATAATTAATCAACGAAAAGTTCTCTTTCCATTGCATCCATATATACATACAACTGAAAGTCGTCAAGCTGGACCAGAGTGTCACTATCACGGAAGCTTTGCTACCAACAAGCAAATCTGCTTTAACTTTCTGAGGTCGTCACTGAATTCAGATTCCAAGTGACCAGTAGCACCGTCTTGGATTCAGCTAGAAAATGCGACTTCTAAGTTGCCATTAACCCCGTGCCTTCGGATTATAACTCTCGTTCCCCGCTGTGCAATGGTGACTAGTAGCTCCGTCTTGGATTCAGCTAGAAAATTCGACTTCTAAGTTGCCATTAACCCTATGCCTTCTGATTATAACTCTCGTTACCCGCTGTGCAGGTGCAAATAACATTGATGACATGAGGTTATCCAACTGATAGAATAAAGTGTATCAGTGACCCATGGTTAGTCCTTAAGGGAAAGAAATTTCCAGCAGCCCGGCCTTAATGCACGAATAGCGTTAACGATGGTTAATATGTCCAGAGAGACGGGGTTAAAGACCTTCACGTACGAATAACATTTCCGATGTTTACGCAGACACAAAGTGACCGGTCTTCAGGTACGAATAGCATTATCTATGGTATAAATGTGCGTTTGCAACTGGTTGAGGTGCTCAGGAATAAGTTGGCAGCGCGGAGGCAAGGAGCGCCGCTTCCTTTCAGTCACTCGAAACTACGCGTTCCTTCAGACAGTTTTTTATTATATCAAAGCAGTGTGGCATATTTCTTTCGTAAATCTATAAGTAGAGATAAGATATTGTATTATTTTTTAAATCAAGTTTGAATGAAAAAAAAATCGTACATGAGTACAAAAGTGAAGCAGAAGTAACTTGGTTCTAGGAACAAATTTAGTAGATTTCAATTGCAACACTATATGCATAGGTTTTCATTATAAAGCGCGTAGAAAATAAAATGTCTGAAGGAAGCATCGGAGACTGCCGCAACCGAGAGACAACTTCTTACAAAATAAAAATACGCACTATTTCGATAGAAATAAGATGAAAGTATATGAAGAAATTTTAAACATTAGGCATTGACGTAAAATAAAACGATAAATCATTTACCCCGAACTAACTACAGGAATAACATGACAATGAAACGAGCGAGTTAGTTCACAAAAATATAATGTGGCAACATACATAAAATATTTATAATAAATCCTAGACCAGATCAACAAGTAGGGTAGACTTTGGCAAGAAACGCGTCACTTCGAAGGGACTAAGGCAAGCACATCTCGATAATTCGCTTACTTGTTTCATCAACATATAATTCACGAGAGTATATCATGCTTAGAACTTGTAAATGTCATAAGCGAAGCAACTTAGCATTTGCATTGTCATGTTAAGTAACGTCAACATTAGCTGATACACGAGAGTGGTAACGATACAAGCTTTATTTCAATAGTTGAATTTTTCAATCGTAATATTTGCTCACATTTCTAAAATGATGAATTCAAATGCATTAAAGCAGATAAAACAAAAGAAACCCATTTATAAGTAACACACGTCGTCGGTGTTGCTGCAGTAATCAAAAGCTTATTCCTTCGCGCATGTACCAGGATGAGAAGTCAATACGCGTGTTCAATACCAAAGGTTTCCAAGCCACGGGATGAGTGACTCGCCCAACACTAATCAAGGTGCTATCTATTCCGGACTTCTTCTAAATATTCTTCTATTAGCAAGTAATTCGGACGTGATCATTGTGATTCTTATAATCGGTAGCATGGATCGATTATCAGGTCATTATTTATTGACTGAAAAGTACGTTTAAAAGTATTTTGCTTAAATCTCAAGTTAGACATGAATTTAAAAACAAAGAATACACCAAGTAAATTCGCCCTAATTTTCCTTGGGTCGAAGAAATTAAAGGAAGCAGCTATGACTGCATAGGGATAGAACGTGCAGCTACAGAGCTGTGCGTGATCACATGACGGAAGGGCGCAGAAGGCACGAGTTATCTAGTGTGAGAATTTGTCTGGATTTTCCGGGTGTCGAAATATAGTTTTTAAATAGACGGTAAATTAGGGCAGACATCGTGGTCGACAGCTGCTCTCGTTATTTTTGACTTAAAAACTATAACAATGCTCCACAATAGAGTACAGTAAAGTGTTAGGTTATATTATTGCAGTGTTAAATTATTGGATAAGCCAGAGGTTACCAAATTTTCTCCCATTGTTACCCTATACAATATGTCATGCCACAATAAACATGTTGTCCCTTCGACAAATACATAGCAACTTAAGTGTCTTGTATTTATCTTGTATATGGCAACTCTTTCACCTCCAATATATAAATTATTACAATGGAAAATTCCCTCAAAATTAAATTACTTGTGAGATTAACACACCACAGTTTGGTAACCACTATAGTACTCGCAGGTTTAGTAACTACATGGAAGAACAAAAGATCATCATAGCTAGGATGTTTCAGTACGGAGTTCGGAGCTGCCTTTTTAGCTGAACTGAATACGAGTTTACGATTGCATCTTTCAAATTGAAACTTAAAGAAAGTGAAACATTAAATGGTGAAACATAACTTGACCCTAAGCTATAAAACACTATGAATAAATCTCAAGCTAGTGATTCACTAGTAGCAGTTTACAAGTAGTAAAACTCACATAAGACAAACGAAAGACAATCTACAGTGGAGTTAGAGCAAGTGCACAATTTTGTTGTTTCTTAGAGCCCAATGTTCATCACCTCAATTACACTCTAAAAACCTCGTCCAATTTTAACTGTCCTTTTACGGGTTATTCCTACAACGCTCGCCATCACCCGCTGTTATCAAGGTTAATTGACATAATCCCAACTTTAACGCGATTACACCCATAAAATTGAGGACTCACTTAAATCCTGGAAGAAGGCTGGCTCAGAGAATTAATAAATAGCAATATATCTGAGCTCTGTTTACAATGCATAGGTACACACAAACAATACGTAAGGCGTAAATACAACTTGGAAACATCATTTATACGCGAAGCAATATACGAGTATCCCGAAGAAAGGCGCTAAGTAAAGTCACTTCAGATCATCGAATAGATCGCAACCTCAATGTATTCTGCTCGTCTTCAGTGGAGATCGGAGTGGCAGCTCATCATATTTGAATAGTATGGTATATAAATTCCGTAGTAGCCAGCAATATAATTCAGAAAAAATCATATACATTACAATATCAAAACAGGAATGGTGCACATCTTCAAGAAATTACTATCAAAAGAAAATGCAATAAATTAATCTCGTATGTTAGATTTTAAGACGTGCTGAGATCATCCGTCGCAACATATGGCATGGTCAATCAATCATTTCTTTCTCATGAAACTTAATATACCCGATCGCTTAACCGACACCGTCAAGAACCTGCAATTTGTTGATATATTTGGGATGAAACTCAAGATATTCTATTGTTTTACCGATCCTTTATGTTCTTCGGTAACAAACGGGGAAAAAATATAACTCAGTACTCAATGCAGTGAGTGACAGAGAGCGCATTTTCTCGTCGACGAAAACTTGAGGTCACGGACGGACAGACAGACGGACATGGCGAGCACAAAAGTGCATTTTTTCCATAAATGAGAAAATGCGCTAAAAATGAAAATGTTCAACGCACGTACGATACTGGCGTGGCATGCGTTGACTGGACGGATGCAGGGGATGGTTCAGGCATCTCTTCACTGGAATAATCCTATTCAAATATTTAAGAAACAATACTTGAGCAGAAATTGTCTTCAGAAACAGCCTCATTGACTAAAAAATTGTGGGAATGGTTTTAATTGAATCTAAAGCAGCCATGAATCTAATTATAAATCGAGGCATGCTACAAAGACTTCGTGCGCCATTGACCTGATTTCTAAATTATTAATTGATTAATGATGATCCTTACTGCTAAATCACATGAATTTGATCGAGGAAAAGAGAGATCAATGAAGCGCTGTAGAACAAGCCCTGATGGTGCACGCATTGTATGAGCCAAGAAATGGAGAGATGTCCGTCTAACTTACAAATAACAAATAATCAAAGTAATTCAAGCAGCAGACATGATTAATGTTTTCATGTGTTTATCATAGCAAAGCAAAGTAGGCAGTCGGCAGATGTGATATACAATTGAATTGAGTATTAGACCGCACTGAACATTGTGCTCAATAAGATGAATACAGGATTACACTGCACTCAACAAGATGAGTGTAGGATTACACTGCACTCTGTACTTCACACAGTAGTGGCATGGTCTTGTCGTGCAGCACTTCATAGCTCCCAACAAAGAGCAGAACTGAGTTGTACTATAGCCATGTATAGATGGTCGTAGAGAAGGCTGAGAGCTTAACAACATCTGAAGAATATCCTATAATGGAATAATTGCTGAGACGAGCTCCAGCGGAACGATCTTCATCACGAGGTAAACAGACGTACACTGAAATGTAGGTATGCCATGTCATCCTTAATTCTAATAAAATTCAATTTAAGCGATTAATACGAGAATTTCAATGTTTTGAATGAATTCTTTTATTGTTAATTCAATAAAATTACGAGAATTCCTACGAAAAAGAAATGCAAAGAATAAAGATGTCGATATCGGCAGACACTCAAAAAAATTAATAGCTCAAATTGTCCAGGCACATTTTTACCTACAGCAGGAATAGAGAGCGGACGTAGCACTGATACGCTGTTTGGCCGAGCCTAACTTGGTCAGAATGAGGCAGGACAAAACGCGTTTCGATGTTTGGACAAAGTGACTGTTTCTCTGATAAAATATTCTGGTTTCAGGAATACTAAAATAAATTGGAAATGGGTTTTAATGGTGAAACGCTCTCTATGGGGGCATTTCAACATGAAAACTGATTTTTTCAGTATTTTACGTAGATTTTTTAATTGTACTAAGTCAGCGTAAAGGCTGGCATATGAAAACTGCACACGCTATTACCAGCACGCACACAGAGAAAATGAAAGGTCATATTATCCGAATACAGTGGCTGCGGAATGCATCGACTATATTAGTTGCACAAAGAGCTCGCAAGATCTATATAGGGTATTTTTATCACGTAATCGCGCCGCGTCATTTTCTGCCACGTAATTCCTAGCGCAATAGCGAGCTGAAAATAGCTCTCCGTTCGGAAGCTCAAAGAAATCTGTGCTATCTTTCATGTTCATTTCTAGAGCAATGATAAATAATAGAGAACAGCTCTGCGTTCAGGCCGTTCAGAAACTGAAGTTCTATTGAAAGCTTTCATGCCTCACGAAATGATAAATTATTGAGAAGAACTCTGCGTTTGGGTCGTTCGGAAGGGTACAAAGATCCTTGCAAACTCACGAAAGGTCGGAGAGTTCCGACGCCTTTCAAGATGCCTGATCCAACAGACTGGTAAGATCCTCTATCATCAGACTGAGATGTGTTATTTCCAAGACTATCATCAGTATCAGACGCTCTCGGAGCCATGACATGAGTTTCAGCTACAAAATTCACGTTCTTGACGCCAGGGGATTGATCAGCACCTACGTGAATAACGCAATTTTTTGTTGATATTTGTGAACTAGCATCACAATTATGAGAAGCGAGGCCCTTACAGCGATGTGATGTTGCAGTAGCCGTGTTATTGCAGTGCACAGCTCTGCCAGCGGTCACATCAGTGTCAGTGAGTGCGGCAGCAGCCACAGTGGCAGCTTCCTGCATACAAGTCAAAGATAGACAAGAAGAAGCATTAAACTTGGACTCGAGCTTTAAAGAACAACACCCCTGACAACCAACGACCGATGAAATAGTAGAATTTGCGCTAATAGTTGATGCGTCAGCCGTAGATACATCCTCACTCCCAGCACGGCGTTCTTCGCTTACCTCTACACGAGTATCCCGGTTAGTGGTAGGATCTGGTGCGTTCCCATCCACCTCCGTACAACTTCCTTCGTCAGGATGATGAGAAAAAGTTTTTCCCGCGACACTCTGGCCCTCCTTGGACGCACCAACATCAGTGGGAGGTTCTTGCGGTGCGCGTGTGTCGCAGTTCCGTGCTTTTTGAGGCTCTTTCGCCTCATGAGAGCGTGCTTTGTGAGGCTCTTTGGCCTCATAAGAGCGTGCTTTATGAGGCTCTTTGGCCTCATAAGAGCGCGTACGTTTGTGCCTCCTGAGGTCACAGCGCGTGCAGCGGCGCAGAGGGCAGCGGTAGTGGCTGCAGGCGCTGCAGTCTCGACACACGCGCACCGTCGACAACTCGAACGGGAAAATCGGAGTCTCGTCTTGGCAGACCTCGCAGATAAACCCACGGCCTTGGCACGCCTGCAGTACACATAAATACATTCATCTGTTTGATATTTTTGTAAGATAATTCATCATAGATATCTTTGATAGATAAGTTGTTCGTGAGATAGATTATTTAAATGATAACAATTTGTCTCTTTTAAACCTGATTTAAACAATATTCAAAGCACCATAACTAGGAATTCGAAACAGAAGTGGCTAGCTCGCTTGTATCACACAAGATTATTTCAACTTCATCACTGTTGCCATCAGATTATAAAGCCTTCTTATGGTAATAACAATTAATGTGAAGGAGACAAAAGAAGATATCACAAACGTTACAAAATCATGAAAAGAAGGTAAATTTACCAGAAAATTACCAAAGCAAATTCATACCTAAAATGGATTATATGATAGAAATGATGAGCTTCGCTATACTAAATAAATTTACAGGAAAATTCTTCAACTAAAATACTAAGCCATCTTCAGCACACATAAACTCAACATAATAGAATAGATGGAGCATCTAGCAGAAATGAACCATAACAACCCGTCGTGGCTCCAATATAAAAAGTAATTCATGTGCTTCAATGTAAGAACAACTTGAAATTAGAATAAAGAAGTAGAACGGTCAAGGAATAAAATCAATTTGGCGATGAAGATAAACTTCGATCAGACGTAATTGGTGAAGATATGGCCGACACTTGACGGTTATGTAGTGAAGAAATAACCACGTATATATCCGCATAAACATTGTGACTACAATGAGACCTGGCAGTTGGAGACGTGGTCGAGACACTTGGCAGTGATGTACTGAAGGGCGAGCAGGACGCTGCCCCCCGGGGTGAGAGGAGACTTGCTGGTGCCTACCACGGCCCCCGCGTGGGTCTTGATGTTGAGGAGCTCCTGCAGCGACACGACCTCACCGTCGCTGCGCCAGTGGTCGGGACAGAACGAGCTGGCCAGGCGGGCCTCGCTGTGGGCAAGACACATTTGAAGCGGGGCAAACAGTTGGGGGCGAGACAAATAGTAAGGGGCGGTGCCAGGAGTAAAAGGGCGGTGCAAAGAGTAAAAGGGTGGTGCAACGAGTAAAAGGGTGGTGCAACGATTAAAAGGGCGGTGCAAAGAGCAAAAGGGCAGTGCAAAGAGTAAAAGGGTGGTGCAAAGAGTAAAAGGGCGGTGCAAAGAGTAAAAGGGTGGTGCAAAGAGTAAAAGGGCGGTGCAAAGAGTAAAAGGGCGGTGCATAGAGTAAAAGGGCGGTGCATAGAGTAAAAGGGCGGTGCATAGAGTAAAAGGGCGGTGCAAAGAGTAAAAGTGCGGTGCAAAGAGTAAAAGGGCGGTGCAAAGAGTAAAAGGGTGGTGTAAAGAGTAAAAGGGCGGTGCAAAGAGTAAAAGGGCGGTGCAAAGAGTAAAAGTGCGGTGCAAAGAGTAAAAGGGCGGTGCAAAGAGTAAAAGGGCGGTGCAAAGAGTAAAAAGGGCGGTGCCAAGAGTAAAAGGGCGGTGCAAAGAGTAAAAGGGCGGTGCCAAGAGTAGAAGGAAGGTGCTATGAGTAGAAGGGCGGTGCCAAGAGTAGAAAGTCGGTCCCAAGAGTTAGAGGGTGGTCCCATGAGTTAGAGGGCGGTCCCAAGAGTTAGAGGGCAGTGCCAAGAGGAGAAGTGCTGTGCCAAGATTAGGAGGGCGGTGCCAAGAGTAGGAGGGCGGTGCCAGGAGTAGAAAGGCTGTGGCAAGAGTTGAAGGGAGGTGCCAAGAGTAGGAGGGCAAGGGTTGTCATATGTAGCTGGTGTGCATCAAATATTTGGGATTGATTTCAAATGCAAGTAGTGAGGGTCAAAAGCTGCAGGTGAGTGTGAAAAAATTGATGCCAAGAAAGAATATGTCGTCTGTACACAAGAGAAATCGATTGATTCTATCTCAGCAAGTAAAATATTCATTCAAGATTTTGACTACAATACCAAACATGAAGATGACGTTGTCAAAGAAACATGACTAGCCTTACTATCTACCTACTAACCGCTGCTCTAAAGTAACAGGGTTGTAAACTTATTGAAGATTCTTGGATAGATGGAGTAGTGACTCCAACTTTTTTTATAATACAATGAAAAAATATCACGGATCAATACTGTTCAACAATGAGATAAGAATTTAAAATATTGTACTTTCAAATTAATTTAGATATATAATATTAAAATCCTCTTATAAATTAATATCCCATACTGAAGAATGCGCAGGGTTATTACCGAGCGGCTCGACTGCACGAGTATATATAAGGCAGGCAGTAGAGGAGCTGGACCCGGTAGAGTCGAAACTGTTGTAGAGGGGGGCTGGTGGAGTAGAGGGAAGGGTTGATCGTAGATGGGTAGAGAAGAGGCTCAGGAGCAAGACGGGTCAGGAACTGATGAGCAAAACAGGACACAGGGTATGCCTTGCCATCCCACTCGTGTAACATCTGAAAAACAATAAATGGATTAATGATGATGATATTGGCAGTAGTAGCACGTTTACTAGCGCTTCAGTGATGGCGATAGTAGTTAACCTGACCGCACAAGTGATCAAGTTAACGCAAAAAATTTTTAGTTCACCTTCAAACTTTCTTTATGTGCAGTCAAATTGGCTAATTTTAGAGAGTTCTATGAGTTTTCTAAGGGGATATAATACAGAGTCAAAATATTTGGTTCGCCAAAAAGGAAAAGTATAGAAGTCAAACAAGTATGCATCCGGAACAGTGACACGTAAAATATTCATTTAAAAACACGACAATAACTGCATTCAGTTCAAAGAAATTCCTGACTTTAAAATCATTTAACTTTGAGAACAATCTCCTGTATGAATGAACTGAATCTTATGTGCATGCAACAAAATTAACATCCCCAGTCTAAAAAAAAATTGTTTGGAGAACAAACCTAGGAAGAATGTGCCTCTAGTTCATGTTGCATTTGGCACAGAAATAACATGCCCAGTTCCACATAACAAACCTTAGCAGGAATAACGTGTGTTTGGTTCATGTGGCACAGAAATAACATGCCCAGTTCCACATAACAAACCTTAGCAGGAATAACGTGTGTCTGGTTCATGTGGCATGTGGCACAGAAATATCGCATGAAGTAGTGGCAGAGACGGTAATGTTTGCTCAGGCTGGGACTGACGTGTTGGCCGCAACCAGCGCAGCGGTACTTCTGGTTGCTCATGGTACGACTGCGGCTGTGAACACACCGATTTCTTAATTTCAAGATAGGTAGCTATATAAAAGACTTCATAAAAACTACACATTTTCAGCTGATACGACTTAATGGAGTACATTTTTCAGATCAGACTTTCTATACCGCCCAAGTTTTTCTAGAAGAGTACATTCTAATGGAACTGTTCAAAATAACTATAGGAAATGTGATCAAGCCCATTCATTCAAAAAGACTTCAAGTTTGATGTAGAGTTTAACAAAAAAATCTTAATTTTTCACGTCTTACAATATTTTCTTGTTTAGTTTCATGTAAAAAATGATACAATACCATTATCTTGAAAAACAAGTAGTACAATTATCATAATCTAAGTGAATTTCACTTTGGGCTGAACAAATTTACTCCTATACGTAGCAAGTCTTGCCTAAAAAAAGTACTGCAAAAGGAAGTCTCGGGTCAAAGAGTGTGCTATGCTAGGAAGTCGTGGCTGAACTATATATACTTACTTCTATAAGTATTTTCGGGCTAAAAAAATTATTTCAGAAATTTTGTGCGATATAAAGTACTACCATAGGAAGTCTAGCTGCAAAAATGTGATCCCATATCAAGTTTTGGCTGCAATAATGCACTACCATTAAAAGTTTTAGCTATATTAACATTCTTCAACTGGTTAGAGTTAGAGGGTGGAGGTAAACTGACCTTAACTTTTTGAGTTGCGAAAGAATGAGCTGTTCTCGAGGAGGTGCCCAGTCAGATGTGCCTCTGAGCAGCACTTGATCTTTGACACCCAAGGGACCATCAGGAAGAGGCAGCAGCTGAGGCAAATACTAACATCAGTCAATAACTCTGGGGCATTCAATGCAAAAGATAGGTTAAAATTAGTAAACAAACAACCACGGTTCTTTATTCATTTTTTGTTAATTTTTTTATTTGCTAATAACTACTAATTGTAAATTTGAAAAAATTTGAATTTATTGTTCTAGTAATCTAACACAATCTAATTGTAAAAATAATATACAAATAAAACAAGATCATCCTCATCAATGTATAACTGATAAATATTCACAAAAGTAGTAAAAATTATTAAATTTGTGTTCGAACAAAGGGGAAACTATGATAAAAATGATTTCAGGAAGAGACTGAGGCATGTCTTGAAGCATCCCCCTTAAAGATGAACGCTGTTGAACATGTAAACTTAAGACAGCTTAACAACTTTACAAGTAGTATAACAACTATGCTTCCATTCAACTCAACCCAGGACGAAGCCTATTAAAACTAAGTGTTCCGTGTGCTTATTTAAACAACTAACTAAAGTATGTAAGATCATTGTACACAACATGACTAAGTTACTATGAACATAAGTGGAACATAATCATACATGCTTAATACCATACTAGTGGTCTATATTATAATTCAAACAAAATGGAGCCACATTGTATGACCGTCATCTCAGCCAAGAGGACAAATGTTCAAAAGAAGTTTAAGGAGATGGTAAACATAATTAATGACATGAGGAAATTCCTGCCCCACCTCTTGAGGAGCATCTCGCTCTGACACAAGCCACTGCAAGTCGGAGGCTTTAGGGAGTTGTCGCTGAGGGGAGCCCAAATGCTGGAGAAGATGTAGCCCGATGCCTTCAGCCGTGCGGTGGTGAGGAATGTGTGGCGGCAACTCATCCTTATTAATGGAGGTGTTAGGACTTACAAAGCCATAGCCAATTGGTTCTAATAAATATGAAGAGGAACTATCATTGTTTCTACGAGTTATTCTAGAAGATTTATTGCTAAAGGAAGTTTGATCATCAGCTTGAGTCTCAGATTCTTTGTCTTTTGAGAGGTAATTTTCATTTCCAGTAATAAAATGATCATCTGATGCATCTTCTGGACCCATTAGAGTTTTGTTGTCTGAGCTGCCATCATTTGAAGTTTGGCTTGCAGAGTCACTTGTTTTCTTGCTTATGGGCATTTGGTGTGTTGACGTCACTAAGTCAATAGTGTCAATAGTGTCATTAGTGGAAGATTCATAAGTACTTGTATCACATAGTCCACTGCAGCCTGATGAAGATAGAATACTGCTGCCACCAAGACGCTCTGTGCGAGTCCGTGATCGCTTCAGAGTTTTTCTGCGAGGTCGACCAAGAGTAGAGGTGTTTTTTGACATCAGTCTCACACCTGAATACGATTTAAATTAAAAACTAATAATGTAACATAATATACTTAATCTCATTCTCAATATTTTTGCCACTTCTTAAGCATTACAATCTATTCAATGCACATTTTCATGGAAAAACCATTGATAGAATGAGTGCACAGTTCTAATAGTTAGATAAACTGAAGGTCAACGAGTTAAATAAAAAAAAATATTTCCAATAAGCTTTTCTATCAGCATTCTCTTCAGAGCCCAGTTGGAAAATATTACTTTTTTTTTTTTTTTGTTATCAATGCTGAAGGATTGACTTGAAAAGAACCATCCAAGAATCATCTCAATAATCACACACAAAATAAAACGGACCTTGTTCATGGGATGGTGTAAGTTCTGGATCTGAAGACTCTGTGTGTGTGCTGCTACGAGGAGACTCGTACAGACTGTAGTCAGTTGTACCTTGAGACATAACAGTAAGCTTGTTATTTAAACTCACACTGACTGCAGTTAGTAGTAACATGATAATTTATTTATAAACAAATTTTATTTAGACATGCATGAATGAAATTGATATAGGTATATATAATTGTTACATGTGAGGACATTATCATAAATTGCATTGAATGAGATAAGAGAAGTTAAGCCCATTGAACACAATTATTCCATTGATTAATACATCTCATCTTACTTGCAGAAGGCAGGTTTCCTACAGCAGAATTAGAGGAGTTTGAAGCACTATTTTTTACATCCTTATACTGTAGTCTGTCCAATTTTTCAAGACGTTTTCTTCTGATCTCTTTTTGTAAATTTGAAATCTCTTCATCGCTGTCATCATCGAAGTCACTCATCAGTCCAGCATCTCGACACTCAGCTTCAAAACGCATCTGTAGTCAGATGATACATTTTTTAACACTAAGGACAAAAAAACAAATGCACAACATTATTCAACAGAGCTATCTGTAGTCAATTTATCACCTTTTCAACACTAGAAACTACTGAAGCCAAACATAAATCATTAAACAAAGTTATCTCTCAATCATCAAGTTTTAACACTAAAATCTCATAGAACCAAATTTTCATCATACAACAAAGCTATCGGTTGATAAGTAATCAAATTTAAATAATTGGAATCTACTAAAGCTAATTAATTGTACATCAGTCAATAAAGCAGCTATTGATATCATTTTACTTAATACAGGCCACGCCAAGTTATAAGAAACTGCACAGAAATATAAACACATTTTAGGAAAAAAACTGAGTAAAATAAATGATAACAGAATTAATTATAATAGCCTAAAGATGCACGGTAAAATAGACCACTACATAATGCAGAACAAACTTTTTCAAATGCAGCCATAAGTGCCTCTGAGATGTAGAAGTGTGCATTTTCCCTCTCCAGTGCACCACATTTCTTGTAGTGATCAGCAGAAGATAAAAAACTAATCAAAGATTCCCCTGGTTTAGGTCGAGGGAATCTGCTTCCAAATAAGGAGTGATTTTCCAACTTTGAAGTGTCATCTCTTTCAGTAAAAGATGCAGAAGAAGAATAATCAATCAAAGATGAAGGCAGACTGACTTCACCCATAATATGATCATAAGAATTAGAAACATCCTTTAATTTATTCAGGCTCCTAGCCAAGGATCCACCTAAGGGTGTGGAATGAGGAGGGCAAGTGTGAAGTTCCTGAGTGTGCAATGAGTGCCAGTGAGTAGCATCACGCTGGATATTCTGACATCCGTCAGACTGTGACCGAGAGTGACCACCAACACGTGGTTGCAATGCCTTACAGGCCTCCATACAGGTGGATTTAGTATTAGAACCTTCTGAAGAAATGTCATGTCTACAACAATCAGATTGGCTATTGTGTGGGGGCTTCACAGAAGACAAACTAATAACATCACTGTTAACAATGCCCTTATCCTCATTAGTAGGCAGCTCAGTCAAACATTCATTGTGCATATTTCCAAGAGATTGTAATTTTTCTATATTATCCAGCGATAGCTTCCCAGATTTGTCACTAGGTTTTTCATAATTATCCATTTGGTTCAGCTTGTCAAATTCTTGCATCTGAAAAATAAAAGCAATTAGGGGAAATATTATTGAATACATACTACACAAAATTTAGAGTAAACTAAGAATAAAAATTGCTCTAAATGAGTGTTTTCAAGAATTTAATATCAATTATGTTTTTATTAGCCTGTTGAGAAATCACTGTTTTATAAATTTGACTAGTTAAGCTGTTTCAAGATTGAAGATAGTAGAATAGATGAAAATTTTCTAACATTAAATTGTTCACTGATGTATTCAATAGGTACCGTAAAATGGGGTAACTTAGACCGGCGGGGTAACTTAGACCACTTTTCATTTTTTTAACAAACTCAAAAACTATTTGACATAGAAAAATTTTGTCAATGAGCATTAAAGGCCTAATACTGAGGCTACATAACACACTAGAAAGATTTGAAAAGTTTGCATATCTAATAGGTTAAAAAATTAAAAATGTGACCCACAAAAAAAAGCTATTATTTAAAGCCTGTCAGAGTACCCCCTCCAATTTTTTATTTTTTGGTTAAATAACTCCAGGAATGACACTTTCCTCAAGTTTGTCATTTGCATATGTAACTGGAAGAGTTCTACTACAATGCACCAAAACCTGGAGTTATTTGGAGTTATTTTACCAAAAAATATAATTGATTTTACCACCCAGTCTAAGTTACCCCAAGAGCTGGGGTAACAAAGACCATCACTTTTTTTGAAATTACATAAAAACTATGAGAGGCAGGAGCCAGCAATTTATGGTGAGTGAAGCTAGAGTATAGACCTGTATTTTGCATGTTTCAATTCAAGTTTAATTTAGCTAGTAAAAAAATGGCATCATTTATAAAAAAAAGTGGTCTAAGTTACCCCATTTTACGCCAAATTTACGGTACTCAATATTAAATACAAGCTCCTGCAAAATCTTGTGCTACATTCAATTTCATACCTAGCATACCTACAGCAAAATATGTCCTCTTAAACCAGACAAAAAGTCCATCAGAAAATGAAACTAAGACCTTATGACCTTATGATGAGTTTGGGACTTCCTAGTCCCCGGTCACGCTGATGCGCCGCCTTAAGAATAAAAGGTTAATAAGAGCTTTCATCCTGTCTCTACTTCTCTTCACAGTTCAAACTTTACACAGAAGAGATGCTACAAGGTGAGGAGAATGGGTGTTGGTGTGTGTGGGTGGCAAAAGGTTAAAAATGATTCTGTATGCTGATGATGCTGTGATCATGTGAAAACAGGGTTGGCAATGATTAAATCAAAACTGATTAAATCAAAACATATTAAATCACGTGATTAAATCACTTGATTTATTAATAAAAAAATCATTTTATTATTATTTTTATTTTTTACATATTTATATATATTGAGTGGCAGTTTTCAATTTATTTTGAGGTATTGTTATTCATGGTCTAGTATAAATGTACTATGACAAATTGGAATATAAACCTGTTGCCATTAATCTTAGTGTATTACGTTCCAATGAATTGTTTTTGGTACAGAGGCATCAAGTGTTGCAATACATTGTACATATAACAAAGCTAGCAGCTTAGCTAATTTTTATAAGGCTATAAGTAGTCTTTGACTAACTATTTGACTATTTGTTATATAACTATTTGACTATTTGTTAAACATTTCATAAACAAGTTTAGTCTCATTTAATAGCTGATTGGCAGGGCTATCAAATGGCGTTGTCAAAAAAATTCCATATGCTATTCGTAAGGTGCCAGACACAAAATAGAGATTGTCCCGAGTAGCCCCGTCGGTTGGGGCNCCACTATTTTTAGTTTTGCGATATTCCAATTAGTTTCGCTACTACAACAGTTTTACGCCGTGTCATAGGCCTGTCCCGAGTAGCCCCGCCTGTCCCGAGTAGCCCCGGTTGACGGTATTAATCACATTACCGTATACAATTTACATGTGATAGCTTGCTTATGTAAGAAAGGTTGGTTGAGATTGTTTTGACCTTTTAGGCACTTAGAAAGATTTTCCACTCTAATATGAGTATTCTAAATTCTAATTAAAGTATTTAATTTGAATATTTAAATATGTGCACACAGCACATATTTAAATATTTAAATATAGCACATCTCTAAATATTGTTTGTATTTGAGCTGTGTATTTTAACACGTTAGGTGTGGGGGCCAAAATTGCCGACTGCCCGCTGGTGCGGCTATGTTTGGGTTGCTATATCATCAGTGCCTCTCCAGACATCGAAGCGGGAGGTTGTGTATGTTTGTCAATGTGCTCTACATGTTAGCGCAATAAAATTCACGACCCGCATGTGGGTCATTTCGCAGCTGAGTGTGAGATTTATCATGTCACTGCGGCACGACCCACATATGGGTCGTGCGACAATTTGCTGATAAATTTATTTTACCTAATTTTCCTGTTTCACAACTCACTCTCATGTATTTTCAGACCATTCATGATGGAAACGTCTAGTTTTTATGGTAATTCTAAGGGAGCGAAACGTGATGAACCTTCTTCCGACAGTGATGATCCTATTCCATCAGATGACACGTTCTCACCAGAGGGGACTGATGGTTCAGAAAGTTGATGAATTGAGTGATGAAAGTGAGTTAAATGGTGAAATTAGTGATGACAAGAACAATGGAAATGTAAATCAAGCAATAGAAGGTCCAACAGAGCAAAGTGTGTGGCTAAGTGTCAGCTCAAATGAAAGTTTCCGTTTTGCGGTAAGGAAGAACTGTCAATCGCACCTAACCCTTCTCATGAAGGGAAAATCTGGCCTATTGATGTTTACCCCTTTTTTTGACTGATTCAGTCATAGAATTGATTGTCCGTGAAACAAATAATTATGCAGAGTATTTGCAAGCACAACCAAATCTAACAAGGAACTCAAGACTGAATTGCTGGATGCCAACTGATTCTACAGAAATAAAAAAATTTTTAGGAATCATCCTGTACATGGGACTAAATCCTCAATATTCCATGGAATCTTACTGGTCAAAAAGTGCTCTACTTGAGAGAAAATGTGTCCGTGAGATAATGGTCAGAGACAGATTTTTTGTTTTACTTAGGACCCTTCATTTCAATGATTCGGGCACTTCATCAAACAGCAGGCTTGATAAACTACCAATTACAAAACTTTTGTTAGAAAGATACCAAGCAGTCTACAAATTGAACCATGAAGTAGTCATTGATGAAACAATGGTACCATATAGAGGATGGCTTATTTTCAAGCAATACATACCTAATAAATGCCGCAAGTACGGATGTAAAATTTTCAAGTTGTGTTCCCCTGATGGTTACACATGGAACTTTGAAATATATTGTGGCAGAAGTGAAACGTTTGAAAATTTAGGTTCAGCAGAGTCTGTAGTTGCTAGACTAATTTGCCCCGTGCTAGACACAGGGATGACTGTCTACACAGACAATTATTATACATCCCTTCCCCTGAATTAAAACCTTGCAACTGGAAATAATAAATATGTTTTATTTGGTACCTAAATAAATTAGTAAAACTCATTTTATATTATTCCAAACCTTTATTTAATGACATCAACACAACTGAGCTATATATTTCAATAAAACTAATTTTTGAGGCTCTTATCAATATTTGGTATCATTTTTATAAACGACCCACCAGTGGGTCGTTTCGCAGTAGAGGGATATCGGCTACGACCCATGGGTGGGTCGTGCCGCACTTAACGTGTTAAATACACAGCTCGTTCCAAGCTCAGCGAGCTGTGTGCAAAAATTAAAATTTTCTTAATTAAAAGCTTAATAGGTCTTAATTAAAAGCCAAATTAAGTAGTGTTCAATATTCAATGGTGTTCTAATTCCCAGCTGTGTCATATTCCAATACAGCTCACACAGCAATCAGAATTCAAACACAAGAGGGTTGGAATTACAAATTAGTAGAGTTTGAAGCGCAGCCTGAATTAGTCTCACAAAATGCCGAATTTTGTCACACACAGCATCACAGCGTCAAACAGTCGGAACATATGGATTTGGTAGGTTTGCATTCTAAAGGCTTTTAAATAAATATGGCAACAGTTTGTGACATTTCATTTTTGCTGGCGCGTAGTGCAGTGTTTTGAGAGTGACATAAAGCAAACAGAACTCGAGTTGCGCATACAGTGATTTTTTTATAGCCATTCATTTTTTGCTACGTCCTTAATGTGTCAGAATATACCGCGTTTATCCTAAATGAGGAGATTAAAAATAAACTGATTCTAAAAAATCTCTGGTTTGTCACTATGATTAGTCATTAGAGCTGTGACATTCCATTCCTACTAAAATCATGTGATATTAGAGCCACAATATTTCAAGAAATAGTAAGACTTTTCCTGAGCCTAAAAGGCTAAAAGGTAGAGATATCAAATGTCAGCCTAGACGCCTAGTGAGTAGGTGAGCAGGCATGGAATATATCTACTTGGCGAGCCGCGACTGAATTTTTCGAGCCGTGGTTTTATGGATTTGCCAGCCGTAATTCCATTTCTTTGAGCCGTGATTCCATTTCTTTGAGCCGTGAATTACATATCTCGGCCATGAAAAGCCATTTACGAGGCGCTAATTTATTTACGAAGTCCATGCATGTGTTAGTCCACAGTGGCAAAGCAGAGTTTTTTAGACCCTCTCTCAAGTTCATTTTTGAGTCCTGTAAGTATACCAGTAAAGTATCATGGATACCAGCAATCCAGCATTATCTTACATAAGAAATTGTTTTAAGTCTTGAGTAAATGAGGAAATTAAAAACTGATTATAAAAAATCTCTGGTTTGTCACTATGTGTGTTACCCCCAATCTCTAATTTTACCCTAAAACAGTCAAACGGCAACAATAAAATTTGTCATTCCTGAAGTTGAGCACGTGTTAATGCAGTCTGACCGCTTTGACATGATCAAAAGTGTCTATGACCCAGGCTGTAGAGTAGGGCCTTTTAGCTCGAGATATCGGCGTCTTTTCAAGCTCTCTATCAGCCACATCGACCTTAAATTGGCGTCCATGGCCGATCATAAACTGTGGCTCAGGCAGCCATGACCGACCATAAACTATAGATTGCATGATCAGCCCCGCTGTCACCGCGCCAATCTTCAGCTTGTTTGATTGCTTGTATCTGTCACCCGATCACAATGTGCATACGTCTGGCAAGCCCAATGCTACTGCTGAAAAAACTTGTCAATCTATTGTGTTCTAACGTGATCTATTGTGTTCTAACATCTGTCTCTTATACACATCTAGATGTGTATAAGAGACAGCGCCGGAACTGCGCGCTACATCGCGTAGTTTAGGTGGCTATGAGCTCGTATGCTTGGGTGCTCAAATGTAGCTCTCACCACCATCGGAACTACGCGCTACAACACATAGTTACGATCGTAGCGTGTAGATCAGTACGGCGCATCGGCCATATCGATCGTAAATCGTGTTTATGGAGAAGCATAATTGGCGACCGGCGTCCAGTGGTGTCCAGTGGCATCCTGCTTGGCGTCTTTGGTGCATGAAATCGGCGTCCTCGACCTATGTTGTGCCATGCTCTACAGTCTGGTCTATGACCAGTGACCACAACTATGCGCAATCTTCAACAAAACGTTTAGTTGATTTGTTAACATTACGATGTTTATGTTTTTTCTGCAGGATATTTTGGCAGGAATGGTAAAGCAATGCAGATTGTGCAAGTTGAAAATTATATGAAATGAAATGTTTGCAAAGTGCAAACCGCGATTTTTCAATCAAACAAAAATTTATGACATTCGAGCCGCAAGATTTCATACCTACTGAAGTTATATGATATTAGAGCCATGATATTTCAGACAAAAATAGGTTTTTTCCAGCCCTGGTAGTGAGCCTATGCCCTATTGCTATGAGTAGGTATCATGGGTAGGATGACCCTTGCTGGATTCTGGAAGAACAGACAAAATTTCCCTAAACCACAATTAAAAACAATTTTTTTACCAATGATATACTGAGTTTCAAATTGAAGTAGCTTATTCAAGTTATTGCAGGCAAAATTATAAAATTTTTCATTTTTTTAACAAACTTATGACTTAACTAGGCTAGTGGATTTAGCAAGAACTGAAGAAGGGGTCAAATGCTTAAACTGCTGAAATTGGCCAAAAACATGGGCATTTTTGCCCCTACTTGAATTTCTAGTTTTCTACCTATGTTAGAACAGTAACAGTTAGATTGTTAGTTATGACAGTAAGATCATTATTGCCTCTTTCAGGCTACATCCAACATCACTATTCCCTACGGCCTACGGGGCACGGGCCAATGAGGCTACGGCGGACGGCCTAATAGCTATATGATAGATTAGAATCATTAGATAAAGTCTTTGTGGTTGTGGAGGCCTGATTTGCATTTTGCAATCAATACATAACGCCATGATAACGGTATTATGGTGTCATAATGGTGAATGGTGATCATGGTGGCAGGGAATTATTGTGAGTACTTATGCGTTTGCAAGAGCATCGACCGGTCCGGCTCAGCGGGGGGGGGGGGGGAAGGGAATAACGAAAGTCTCATTTACGACTGGACTAACCCATTGAGCAACATTTTCTCAGTTATGGTCTCATAACAACTCAATTTTAAAATATGTACAGTTTCGAAGTTGATATAAGTAAATAAATAAATATTTGAACTGGGAAATTCCTTACTCTGTCTCTTATACACATCTAGATGTGTATAAGAGACAGGTGTAGCTGTCAGCTGACTTTCTTCAGAAGTGCAAAAGCTTTTGCCGGTGAAGGTGTTTTACGATCGGTCCGTAAAGAAGCGTTGATCGGTTCAAAATGACATAAGAACAGGTTCTTTTGAATAACCTATGGATTGCCACCATGATGGTGATAATACACTGATGGACCCCCCAAATAGTCAAATACAAACCCTTAATTAGAAGTGTCCAATACCATCGTAAAGTTGCCTTATCCGACTTCCGTTTGGTCTAACTTCCTAGGTCGGGACTAGAGATAAAGTGACGAACAGACGATAGTTTGACAAAAGTTTGCAATCGTCTTGACCTAAGTCTATCCTAAGAGAGCTTAATAAACAGTTGGTTAATTATGTTATATTTTAAAACAGTTGTGGAAAATATCCTAACTCTTAAGAGTCGGAACAGCAACTGTATTTTCGGTACTCTCATCACGTGACGTGACTTCACGGCCACGGGTCTTCGGCTCTTCACGCACCGACGACCGATTCCAAGCAAACGAAAAGGCAAGGCACAATTTTGTTCTATGAAAGGAATTTCTTCGAATCTGAAATACGGAATACAGGAGCAAAAAATTATATTTAAAAATATTTAGTGATTGACTCATTGTCACGCAATTTCCTAGAAATGTACAAAAATCAATTTAATTTGAAGCGATTGAATGTAATCATTTATAGACTTATTTCCAAATTCACGCTAATCATGCATGAATCGCTTCATAAGCGCGAGCTGTGGCATCAGTAGTCAAATCGGCAACATGGAACGGGACAGGTGGTGCAGAAAAGCAAAATTTGACACGTGAGTTCAAGTTTCAAATACCCAGCATGCTACTAATATTCAGCAATATCTAGAATATGTCACAGGAAACGTTTGAACTATTCAGCACGGACACCTTTATAAGTTGTCCACCGATCTTGACAAAATGACAAACTGAGCTATTCAATCATAATGCTTGCCTGCGAACGTTGCAGGAGATTTTATGTATGCTTTCTTTTTAGTAGTGCAATAAACGCTAGGTTTGTTAGGCTTTCACAGGGTGTGAGATTTGATTTCGTTGTATTTTGGAGTTTGTGCGGTCGAAATTATGTTAGATATTTGATAGCCTAATATTTCTTTGTTCGCTCGAAATTTCGGTGTCAATGTGTTTTCGTAGCCAGTTTACCGCCCGTAGCTCTTATTTCCAGTCGAAATCGATTTTCACGATGGCAAAATTTTAACGTTGCAAGTGACATTGATAAACTAGATGGTCAACTTTTGGGAGGCTCGAAAATTTGAGCGAAATAAATTAAATAATTAGCGAAAATCAGTTTTGTAACCTCGTCGACTGACTAATTATTATAACAAGATCTTTTTGAGTCAGATCAAAGCAGAAGAATTTAACTCGTGAACACCGGAATTGCGAACTGAGGTCGGGTAGATCCTGCATAGCAATTCAAGATTCAACATAGGGGTTGAAACTTAATTGGCGTTCAACGTTATGTGGTTTTGAAATGATATGCTTGACAACTTGTCATAAAAATAATATACGTTTAAAAATTACTTTCTAAAGACAACACTTCTAAAGAATCCAGTGTTTCTAATGTTACAGATGTACAATGAATTTCCAATTTTAGTTTCGAATATTAAAAAAAAATAATTTTTCAAATTATTTTAATATATAAAATTTTTTCCAAAATTATTTATTCTGTCAATTGATTCATGCATTGCCTCCGACTTCACACAAGTGTGCAAACTTACAGGTCAATTGTACAGGTAAAAGTGTGTCAAATATCAGTTGTAAGATTTGTAGCTGACAAAATTATTTTTTTTAATATTGAAAAAACAATTCTTAATTTTTAAAATCATTTATTTTGTCATTTGATTCTTGCATTGTCTCCAACTTTAAAATAGAATATAGCATAGAAGTGTCGGCACTGAAGAAATAGGCCCATGGCCTGTTCTTTACTTTACGCAAGTGTGCACAATTTCAGATCGATAGGATAAGTAGAAGTGTGTTAAATTTCGATTATAAGAGTTGTAGCAGACAGACAAACTAGAAGTGAAGTTAAAAAGAAGTGTTGTAAATAGTTAAAAAACATAGTTCCAGGGTGCGGGAGCGGTAGGAGCACAACGCGGTAGGAGCACAACAGTACTATCATCTACCGTACCTAATCGATCATAGTTTGGTCTTCAGATATCCTTAATTCAAATTGAGTGTTCTCAAATAATTGCGACTTTCTCGTTGTCATGCAGCAGCGCACGCAGTTCAAGGTCGCCGTTCGGACGTTCCGATTGCCTTCACGGCCTAGCGCCTCCTTATCTTACGGAATGTCTGCAGCGCATGTCGGATCTGCCTTCTAGAAACCGACTGCGTTCGTCATCAACAGCAGACCTCGTCGTTCAATCCATGGTAATTCAACCATGGTTCCATCTACTCGTCTATCTAGCGTCGGCGACAGAGCGTTCCCGAGCGCCTCCATCAGAACCTGGAACAACCTGCTGGCTCCCGTAACATGGGCTCCTTCTTGTAGGTATTTCGTCGACTCTTAAAGACGAAACTATTTAGTGGAGCCTACGAATCAAGTGTTTACTCATTTTTATCCGTTCTCATCAATTCTCGTGACTATTTATTTTTAGCTTGATATTAACCTTTTGCGTTACGTGCCCTCGAAGTTCGTTTGAACCAGACGTCACGATAACTGCTCTGTAGAAGAATAATAATAATATAATACATTCAAAGTTCTCCAATCTTTCGCTGCGCTATTAATTGGTTTGTTTTTTGTGGCCTTTTATCCGAGAGAACTCCATAAATTTTGATGTGTGAAATTTTAGCCTAAAATTTAAGAGTCAATAAAGTTTCTTTAATTTATTCACAGGGTGCGGAGGAAATAAACTTCCTTTCGGTTTGTACATCTTCTAAGCTTGCATATTCGTCTATTCCATAACGAAAGTTTGCTCATGGTTTCTGGTCAGGAATATTCTTGATTCGTCTGTTTATTTCGAATAGGCTCCTGAGTTCAATAAAGTCGCAAAAAGATGCTCGAAAGCGAAAGCATTTGTGGCCGCAGAATTGCAGCGCTCTCATTAGTACCCATTAATGCCGAGAATTATTTTCTACATTTTTTCTTGGTTCCTTGTGCGAATATTATCGTTTGTGATGGTAATAAACAAAAAATATGTTCATATATTTATTTTTCGTTTTATATGAAAAATTATAGCTTGGTTCCATATGGAACCGCTCGGCATCAACATAACGTTTCTTCAAACAGCACTTTTTCCGATAGTAAATCAAGCAAGGTTATTCATAATGGATAATACGTAATATACGTATTCGTAATGGACAATACTGATGATAAACCAATCATGCCAGAATAGAATTTAATTTTTAGCATGGAATGCTTCCATTCATTCAGAATGAATAGGAAGGTTGCCCATTTTACGAATGTTTGTGGGCGCGTTGTCCACATTGTTTGCATATGCAGTGCTTCTGATGTCTCTTTGCTAGCCGATGTTGTTGATTGTTGTATTGCACTTCATCAAGGATCGAAGTAGAAGGGTGCACTATAGACCCTGATTATTTTGTTTAGGGTCTCCTGCATTATTGCTATTCCTAACCGATCTTTTTGAAAATTCATTGCAATAGCCATTCTTTTTTTTTCAAAAGCTTTTTGAGAAGCCTTACTAAACCAAAATATAAATCACATATAGTATGTTGCCTGGGACCAATTGTATCATATTTATGGGACCAATCCATGTTCCAGCCCATGAATAAGTTTCTTTTTCTATTAGATCCGCCGATTGGCTTCGATTGCGGAAAAATATCCTCTGATTTATCTGCTGCCCAAAGTTTATAAGCAAATCTCACGGGCTAGCCACGTATATGTCGTAGCATAATGTGGCCATGTCGACCATGCACAGTTGACTTACTTCTCTGTCGATAGTCATATTGTTTTCACATTTGGTGATTACTTTTACTACAATGACTATTCTCTATAGGCGAGCGGAATTGCTAAATGGCTGCGTCATCTGAGTTATCTGAATCTCAGTCTGTTTCGTCTGTTGCTGCTTCTGTGAAAGGTTCAGTAGCAAATGTTTGATCTTTATGCTATTCTTCTCTCGAAATCTCAATTATTTCATGTGATGATCTGCCAAAAATACAATTAGAAAAAAAGTGACTCGGGATGAAAAATCGTATAGTGTTCAACGTACCTACTTCCTAATATTTCAACTTTCGGGATATGTACTCCTAACAGCTCTAAAGATAATAGTTCACTAATAAATAACAGAAAAACTTTAGATCTAAGATCTAAATAAATAATCTCTAAATCCAAATAAATTTTTGAAATACAATGCGTAACTATATCACAAAGTAATCAACTGGGAAAATGAGATGACCGGAATGCTTACACTACTGTCGAGCGGTTCCATTTGGAACATGGCAAAATATTTCATGATCTAAGTGACTTATTATAATCAATAATGAATCTCATTTTATCTATAATGTTTCTCATTATAATCTATAATGAGAAACATTATATCACGTAATACCATATACAGAATAAAAAGTACTCTCTTTATCGATAAAATTCTGCGTCTAACTTATAAATAATATATTTTTAGAACGAACTACATATCTTTTTCTGCAATGATGTCAAGCCCTTCTGTCTGACACCCAGTAATTACAATCCTGTGATGTTAACTGAGCAGGGGGTAGTCGGCGCAGTAGAACCAAAGATGTGTATCAAAACTACGCATAAACTAGTATATTTATTTGACCATACAACTTTATTATGAATCCATTTTCTCCGCTGGTTCCAAATGGAACCGCTCGGCATTAATGGGTTAATGTCGCACTTGAGCTCCCATCAGTCGCCTTAGATGTTATTGTTGAATAAGGCAGTGCTCGTGTGCAGAAGCATAATATTTAGGGCGCTTTTCTTTATCCCATAAATCGTGTATTGGTCGACATACTTTAAGAATAGATTATCCGTTTTTATGACCAGCCAAGCTCTTCCGTAAGGTGAGAGATGTATTCAATATTATTTGAGGATCGATGTCTTGAAATTCTCGCGCCAGAGGCTGCGGTGTATAATAGTATTGCACCTTAAATTTAAAGCATTTCTCTATCTATGATGTTGCACCAAGTAACGTAAATATATCACGAGTGCAAATTTATTTAAAATTATATATGGACAGAAGTACTTCCAGAAGGTACAAGCAAAGTAAGTAACGCTTGAAAATAATCTCATCCATGCTTCGCATAAACGGCAGAAATAATCATCATACAATCTCATATGTATATCTGAGCCCATTGCAGATTCTCTATAGGTCCCAAACTTTATCATCTAATTAATTTACTTCCAGCCAACCGTTGCTCATACCTCGCGTGATGATTGTTCTTTCTGCTTTTAAGCACAAAAGGGAAACGTTGTATAGTTGCATTTTGTGTCGCAAAAGGCGTAACAACTGTGTCAAGGTAACAAAAGGCACTCATGAAGAAACTTGACTCTGATCTGACCACGTTCCGAGCTACCGTAACGACTACGATCGGTGACTCATTGTATTGCTCATGTTGGCTCTATAATCAATATGGAACCTCGACTAATTGATTTGTGAACTAATTTAGACACTGTATCAACCCTGTGGTGATATGGATTAGCCGTGTCTATGTCTTGCCAGTAAATTACAAAGCATTCAATATAACGGGGCCTACGTCTTCAAGGTGCCGCGACCAACAGACCACGACTCACCAGTCACCACGGACCACGCGTGTGCTTAGTGTTGTCTAGACGGTGATGAGGTGAGGTGTGCCCAGTTCTTGAGAGAGAACCTGAGGTCTCGTTCGGTGGAAGACATGTTTGTAAGGTAGAAAGGGAATTAGAATTCGTCAACAATTTCAACCGGCGTGTTCTGATCAATTAAATAATTATGGAGTCAGTGCTCTGGAGAGGAAGGCGGAAAGAGAAGAGGTTTCCAGGAGTATTCATCTTTAGTTTATGTATTTTAGGTTTCATCGCTAGAACTAATGGACAAGGTGAGTAAATTCGTAGATCTGAGTTTTCAATTTGACTCAATCTGTCAGACTTTTTGTGACAGTAAGACGATCTCATCCTTGTAGTACTGTTCATTACAATCATTCAAACCATTGCTAACTTTTAGAAAGTTCGTCTGACTGAACCATATCCAAATCTATGTAACTAGGGAGATTTTCTCCAGCCATGCACTCCTGTCTGGAGACTGGCCTCAACTGCGCGCCTATTCCCTAGATTTTTAAACCGGCTTGTCCACCCAACGAATATATTCCTCGGTGTTACGTCAGCGTCAAATAGGTACCAGGAGAATTATAGTTTGTCCAGAATGTCAAGAATGACGTCTTCTTTATCACTAGTATTACACATTGAGAAATTAGAATGAAAATTTTTACGTCTATCTATATTTTTATTTGACTTGAAATCTTTTATTTGGGAATATTAAATTACTAACTTGAATTTTTGAAGATGGGGAGCACTATGTACAAGCACTATGAACTGAAAAAGAACTTTCTAAAAACCCACATTCTTTCAGGACTATTTTCGTTACTTAATGACTTACGGCTTTCGGGTACCAAGAAAATCGCCATCAAAAACATGAGGTACAAACTGCCCGGTTCGGATTTTATTTGCAGTTCAAACTAAATATCTTCTTGCATTTGCTAATATTCTAATCTGTACGTACAATAGACGATAAATGCGGGATTGGTTCAGCAGAACTGGATTCTGCTGCCTATACAAGGTGTCGCTGTGACAGACTGCAACGCGCCAGAGAAAGCGATCTCAGCTGGTAGCCTATGGCCGACTGAGAAACGAGGAGCTATTGCTCTCCTGCTAAAAACATGATGAATTTGATGTAAGGGTCCTGTTGTGATATTAAATGCTTCATGTATTGCGAGGGAAGATTGTAGTTCTAGATCTTTGCTGTGGACTCTCATATACGTGATAATCCCAGCGTAATCTTGGCGTCAACATCGCAGCTTAAAATGTTATTAGCAGCTCCGTTTTGAATAATTGCTATTGTATTTAAATTCGTTCATTGGTATTTGGTACGGTATGTTGAATTTATGTATGAAAGCTTAGAGATCTATACATGTCGACGCGTAATAAACGCGGAGTCTAAATTGTATTTCTAACATCTCACGTCTGCCGAAAGTCTCAGCATAAGGCAAACTCGATCAAATATAATGTTCTTGCAATTGAATATTAAAAAATTCCCTTTAAATGTACGCGTGGCATGGCTGATGACTTTACACGACTTTTTCTCTTGACTTTACACGACCATGTTTGATCAAGAGAATCGTGTCTGAATCTTGACTTGCGTTGGACGTTTGATTCGAATTAGCTAAATGTGTACGAGCTTTCACATCGTAAGGACAGAAATACGCGAGCATCATTTTATTGAATGACATCCACACTTCTTGTCCGCACCACTGAACCATTACCGACTGACAGACATCCACACTTCTTGTCCGCACCACTGAACCATTACCGACTGACAGACATCCACACTTCTTGTCCGCACCACTGAACCATTACCGACTGACAGACATCCACACTTCTTGTCCGCACCACTGAACCATTATCGACTGACATCCACACTTCTTGACCGCACCATTATCGACTGACATCCACACTTCTTGTCCGCACCATTATCGACTGACATCCACACTTCTTGTCCGCACCATTATCGACTGACATCCACACTTCTTGTCTGCGCCACCGAACCATTATCGACTGAAATCCACACTTCTTGTCCGCACCACTGAACCATTATCGACTGACATCCACACTTCTTGTCTGCACTACTGAACAATTATCGACTGACATCCACACTTCTTGTCTGCACCACCGAACATTATCGACTGACATCCACACTTCTTGTCCGCACCACTGAACCATTATCGACTGACATCCACACTTGTTGTCTGCACCATCAAACCATTATCGACTGACATCCACACTTCTTGTCTGCACTACTGAACCATTACCGACTGACATCCACAGTTCTTGCCTGCACCATCAAACCATTACCGACTGACATCCACACTTGTTGTCTGCACCATCAAACCATTATCGACTGACATCCACACTTCTTGTCGGCACCACTGAACCATTACCGACTGACATCCACAGTTCTTGTCGGCACCACTGAACCATTACCGACTGACATCCACACTTCTTGCCTGCACCATCAAACCATTATCGACTGACATCCACACTTCTTGTCCGCAATCGACGCATCGCTATAGACTCAAATAGTTCCCAACGCTGAAGGCTCGTGCAGTCTTCCTTGAAACCTAAAATGCGTTTCGCGCGGGTTTTGGAAAAGGAATAACCGAGCAGTTCCCTTTGGCATCAATTGTCGTGGAAAGTGGCTTTGTGAGCGCGTCATGCAATTGCAACTGGAAAAGATTTCGTCTATTCAAATGTTCCCTTTGTCTTGCGTTTCGTAATGATCTGTACATTCACTGCCGCGGTATTTTTCACCACTATCAGGATATTCTTTCTGGTCTTCTGCTGCTTTTTGACGGTTTTTTAATTGCTTATTGATTCAGAGTCCATTTAGTTGTGCGGACTCTTTACCAATGTATTCAATTTCTACGTTGAATATGAAGAAGCGTAAGATTATCAGCCGTTTGTGAGTAGAATAATGAGGAAAAAGACCTTATCAGTAGAGTACAATACAATTTATTATAATAGCATCATCGTATTGTTTTGTTTGCTTAGTAATATTTCGCGCCTGGCTAGTGCCTAAAACATTTAGGAAGTATTCGGATACAAAGCCTTCAGCGCTGCAGGGGTGTGCAGCGCTGACGCAGTCGGGGATGATAAATATCCTTATATGATATTTATAAATATATATATATAATATCTTATTTTGAAATAATCCTTGTGATGTATAGGAAAGGCGAAATTGAATTGTGTATATACTGTAAGTTGTGTGAGAATTTTGGTAGGTATTAAATAAGTATAGGAATAAATTAACGTCGAAATTAAAATAGGTCTCAACAATGAAATGAGATTATATGGAAATGCGACATTACTTTTCGTCCAAAATTTATTACCGAGAACAACTGTTATCACGGGTATAACTTGTAATGTTTACGTAAATGAAGTTTAAAGGTCGAAATTCCCGATAGAGCTCATCGCATACAAAAACGGTACCTATAAATAATTCCAGGTAGAGCTCATTTAATTGATGGCAAGTTATAACACTTTAATTTTGGATAACTAGGATCAGAATTTAATTTTGAATAACTAGGATCAGAATCTCCGCATTTACTTTGACGCTGAGTAAGTAATAGGTCCAACACCACATTATCTGTAGCGCTCATCGATAGTTTTAACGTGGCAGTTATTTATGTCGCCGATCTAAGAGTTTCTATAACGCAGCGTTTACGCTAGCGCTTATATAAACTTTTAACGCCATTAGTTACGCTAACTCTGCTCTTGCGTTTCAACACTTCAACGTCCACATATTAAGGCTGTGTCTGATCTAGAGTGTTGCATCAGACATGCACGTCCTGGGCCAGCCTGCAGCAGGCAGAGCTACTGCAGCTGCTGAGCTGACATGTACAAAAACCCGATAACATTGAAAAGCGCGACGTCGAGACCAGTTTTCCCTTCAACTTAACTTAATTTCCATCAACTCATCAACTTTCTTATCTACGTAATTTGATTGACGATCGCTTCACTTCCATTGCGTTGCATGAACCATTTACGTTCTTTCTGTGTATTTATCCGTAGCAATATTCAAACATTCATAATATTATTATTTTTACGTAGATTTTGCGTAGATATCGCTAGATTTAAATTACCTTCTTGACCGATTGCACTCCAAGTTCAATGCCTTGGCCAATTGATTAGAAATATTGAGGTTTGTTGTAGGGAAGCTGCTTCCGACTTGTATTCATGTTGTACACGATAAATCAAGGAAACTCCTACTGCAAATTTAACGTCAGTTACTGATATCAAATACATGCTAAATGTTATATATATCGCGAATATAATGTTATTTTTTATAGCTGTAGAACAATAAATTTTAGTGTATCATATCATAGACTTGCTGTTAATGAACAAGCAATGACTATAGACATGTTTTAGGAGGAGTTGTTATATAGCAAATGACGGTCCTAATAAACTAGTACATGGTTGCTAACGACTTCTTTACTCAACTTCTTTGAATATCATGACCTCAATATTTCCGATAAGTGTTCATTATTCGTATTTTTGTTCGTAAATTGCTGTATAGCATTCGTGCCTGGGTTGCGTGTCTCGATTTCTCAGACACACGAAGCTTCGTTTCCCGACTTACGATTGACGCACGCTGCATTTACACTCACGGCTCGTCTTCTTAAAAGCTACGATTCGTACATGGAGTTGGCACGAACGTCAGTCGTACACGCACGCAACATTCGTACTGCTCGATAGTGCTATATTCCATCTTACAAACATTGTTTAGCCTCCTCGTAAAATTATTTTTTTCATTTAAATTTTAACATGCACACTCCCGCAAACTTTTTAGCTTTGAAACATTTTTATTCAAGACGAAGTAAATTTAATTTCAATTTCTTAGTTAAAAAAATTAGGGAAATAATTATTGTCGAAGTTTTGGCTCAACTCATCCCCATTTTTTATAACCACTCAGAGAAATGAGGGAGACTTTGTCCAAAGAATGATGCGCATTTCGTTCCTGTGTGGCTCATCCTGACCGAGTTTGGCCGGCAATAGTGCGCATCTACTAGGTACAGAAAGTGTGTCAGTATTTAGACAGAATAGTTCTCTTATTTTCCTGAGCATGTCGCTATAGTTCCCCGCAATTGTCGCGTACAACCGATTAAGCTACCAGCACCAAACGCTTAAGAAAATTGATGTGTTTTACTATCAAAATAGTGAAACACCTGTTGCGTGTATCACTAGTGTACGTCCTTTTTCTGGGTTAAACTGGGTCAATATGACTCACATAAAGGAAGGTGAAAGTTCAGGTCTGTTTGGATAATGT